AGTGTATACTGAAGTATCAGAACCCAGTACCTCATACATGTTATGATGGACAATTAAAACATTTGCAGAAAATGATCGAGCTATGATACATTGAATATTGAGACGTTGTCTTATGGAAATGGGGATTATGCCCAGTAATACTTGAGTGGTTATTCTGTTTTCTCTTTGAAACATTGACCAATCAATGAATAATTTACGTGCACAGAGTCCCTGAATTCTTAGGTTACAACTATTCGATGGTCCTTTGATAAGCCAGTAGGATGGACACAGAGATAATGACATGATGGGGACCAGCTGGCACAGGAGCATGTAGATAGTTCCAGCACTACGTAGGTATGACAGGACGTCCTTTTGTATCATTTGTACAAAATGACGAGGAACAATATTAAGCAAACAAATGATATTATCATGGGTATATTTTCAAAAAAACGTCGTGGCAATAGGTAAAAGTGGGGACTGGGATGTTGAAGTAGGATACTGATTCTCAAACGATAGGATGTCTGATTGGACGGGTGCTGCTTGAGTTACTAAATACAAGGCAGCAGTTGGAGTACGCACTTTACAAAACATGTATAGCATAGCAGTTACTGAAAAGGCAGACAAGGATAATGATACAAAAGCAATAAAGAAAACCCTGTCAAATTTGGAGGAATTGACCATCCAAAATGATTCCGTAAGGGTTTGAAGCACAGTTGTTGCCATTTTTACACTATTAGCAATAAATAATATAATGTACTCAATGGGGAGAGGCATGGTATGTGTATTATGCAAAAAGGACAGACTTTTATGATTCTTTGACCCGTAGGACATGTTAAGGATAGAAGTTGTAAGTGATAAACGATAGCCACAGGAGTTATTTGGGAATAACACGAACGTTACAGGCTTACTTAATTTTGTCGATTTGATTATTGAAAAAAGCTGCTTTACATGAGTGTGAAGCGGGTGTGTGAAGGAGCAGTGACACACATGAGAACCATACCATGTAGTGTTGTTCAACTGTTTGCTGAGCATAACACAATAGTGTTTGTCTATGGATATAGCAACGTAAGATGCCAGATCAAGCAGTTGTGTGGCATGATAATAGGGAGTTTATGCCACACAAATCATATATTTTGGGATTTGCTGAAATCAGAAACTTAACTGAAATATACACTTTATTGGAAGATGATCTTGCAAAGACAAATTTACCATGATTTATAATAAACATAAAATTTGGGTTAGAATGCAACAATGAAAAACCGTGGAAGTTACTTCTAAGTGTATGTTGAACACGATTAATAGTTTGTTGCACATATGAGGAGTGACAAGAAGAGGTGAAATTTTGCCTTTCACTAAATCCTGTACACCTAGCTTGAACTGCTCAAGCTTATGTTCAAGTGAAGCTAGTTCTATTTGGTGAGTTGAGACGTAGGATGGTGATATAGCAGTTTCTTGAAACTTATTAAATGAAGCTTGATGTAGCCAGTCGAGGAGACTTAATGACTCATTTGTATACCCTGAAGGGCATTGTGAAACAATGATTCTCTGTACACATATATATTTCAGGAGCACTGTATAAAAGTCTTGGCTATCCTTGCACTGGTTTTGAACAGTACATTAATGTGTTGGTCGAGTATTTGAACGTCATCATATGTAGTTGTGCCAAACAGTCAAACTGTTTACCAATGGTAGGATGGGGCCGTTAGCTTCGTTGGTCACTTGGCAGTTAAGATATAGGAAGCATGATGTTCACCTGAGTGGCGGTGAACAATGATGCACTTCAGGTCTTGATTGCGTTGACGTTGACTAGATTGGACGTTTATTATTTCTGTGACATCCTTTGATATTTGGAATATTGACTGGAGATGGAATATCGACTTCATATATGTGAAGCTAATATTCATGACCAAATTGTACTTGACCAGCTGGCACCATTATTAATGCGCTGGATTATTCCATTAGCACCAGTTGATGAGCCAAGGAAGACATGTCCAAATAGATGCTACCAAGTAGAGATGACAATCCTGGAGACAGATAAATGTGGATTAGATGGTAATAGGTTGTGAAGATGTGACGTCTCATACAACCATCCAGCACTAGAACATTGTTACAATGTTGCTTGAGGCTAAGTCGCATCATGTTCCAGGGAAACGATAAAGAAGAGAAACCCAAGAAATATGTGCAAAGAATAAAATAGATGTAAAGGATGCGAGCATTAGAATTTGAAAGACTTTATTTGGAAATATCTAGGCTTGATCTCGTTTGGGCTACTTGAATATTTCCGATTTCTTCTGGCACCAGTGGAAGTTAAGTTTATGTGGACCTCTTTGAGGTACTCATCGGGGATGTTTTCCCCTGGTTCCCAGAATGCAGGGTAACCTATCCACTTCACAAGGTATACCTTCTTTACTCTGTAGAATTTCATCTTCAGGATTTTTTCTACATGATACAGAATATCTGGTTGTGCTGTCAAGTAGATCAGTTTGAACTTGAGGATCAATTGGTTGCCGAGTATCCTGGTGATCACTGGATGGTGGGACTGATCTGTTTAGACTTGAACATCCATTTTGTTGGTGAGACATGGTGAGAGGTCTTTGGGTGAATGGCTTTAGGCGGTTGGCGTGGACATGGGATTTGTACTTTAGGCAATCTTATCAGACTCCTGAGGGCTCCATATCGTGTAAAGACTTCATTGAAGAGAAGATGTGCAACTTTAGTGGCTTCTTGACTCTTCATGTCCACCTAGAGTATGAGTCGATTGTTAACAATATCTGCTTGTTTCCTATTGCAGACTTTGGGAGGGGCCCAAGAATGTCTACATGAAGCCTGGCGAATGCGTCTTCCATAGGCATGGGAACCATTGGTGCTCGAGATGGATGAGTTGGTCGCTTAGTCTTCATATGTCTGGATGTATTTGTCGATATCTTGATGCATACCTGGCCAGGAGTACTTTTGAAATAGCCGATTCCTGAGAGCATCCATCTTTCCCAGGCAAGCGTGTCTAATAGCCTATATTAAAGGCTAGTGTCTACCATTGCCACATCAAGTCCACATTTCTTGGCTCCAGACACAGGCGCCACTTAGCGCAGATCACGAGTTGCGCCCCTTGTAGTGAAAATGTTATATCCAATCAGATCACTGTTCTTACCTCGCTTCACAAAGATGGCGACTACCATAGGCGACGACCTAGCTGATCAGGTAACAAAAACATTCGCGATTTCATCCCTGACACAAAAACATAGGCAATCATTGGGGGGTTTAAAAGATAAAAAAAGACATATTCGTGTCAACAAAGACAGGCAGCGGTAAATCCCTTTCATACGAAGGTGTACCAGTTGTGGATGTTGATTTTGTGAAACGTTGGTGCAATAGACCAATCATATTTAGCACAGGAAAGTGGGCCTGGTGTGGCAAGGGTGGAAACAAGACTTTGATAAAAAGGCTAGTAAACGCTCTTGCCTCGGGAAGATGGATAGAATCGAGTCCTAGATGGCATCCACCTACTTTGGAGTAATGGTAGGAAATGGAGAGGTTTTGCTTATCAGCCTTTTGAACAGCGATCTGTGGTTAGGTGTGGATCCCATATGTTTCATTTGGAAGAAATGATAAAGAGTACCATCAAGAATAACATACTACTACAAAATTTGGTTGGGCTTTCTCTGTAGTCAGCAGCAATCTCACATTTCTCCTTGTAAGTAAATATAGCTTGAAAGTCTGGACACTGCCTTTGTTTGTCTTTCACTTTTATGTCATCCTCAGTTTCTGACATTGCAACAACTGGCTTTTTCTGTACCTAGGTGAAGGTGACAGAGAGGTGTTCAGGGGTGTGCTGTGGCTGAAGGAAGCAGTGTGCTGATTCAGAACTAACTGTTGTAGCAACTGTAGAGTTGTCAGCAGGCATCTCCACAACATCTATGACTTGCTGGGTCTGGCAATAATGTCTCCGAGAGAGAGCATCTGCATTTTCATTTTTCTTACCAGCTTGATGTCCAATGATGAAATCATATTCTTTGAGTTGGAGAGTCCATCTGGAGAGTCTACAAAATCTGCATTTGCTGGGCTTCAATGTAAAACCCGCTTCTCCCAATTAATTGAAGACGCAAATCAGGTGAACTAAATGTTTTGCTGTGCGCTACCATCCACATACACATATTTACAGTTCATTTCACGCAGTGATTTAGAAATAGTGGCTGGAAATGCCATTGGGGCGTTTTTGAAAACCAAAGGGTTGATGATTCCACTCAAAACACGCCCTCCTGACAGATGAAGGCAGATTTATGTTTGATTTTAGCACTTAATTGATTTTGCTAAAAGCCACTAGCACAATCAAGAACTGAAAAGAACTATGCATTCAACTTCCTGCAGTCTATGGCGAAGTGGTAACTTCCATTTTTCTTGCGGAGCATGACAATGGGAGATCTCCATTCAGATTCATTTGTCTCAATAATATCAGTCTGAAGCATTTGCTGAACTTGTTTGGCACATTCATTTCTTACTGTCTGTCTGTAAAAAGGCATGTAAACAGGGTCTGTTTCACAAGTTTTTATTTCACATGCCAAAACACATTGCTGAGACTGGAGGAAACACTCAAGTTGATACATTTGATCAGGTTCTGTTTAGGAATAATAGAGCAAATGACGCACTATGACAGTATGATCATGTCCTTTATTGTCCTTAGTACTCTGTCGAAGAGAGACCAAATGTGCATAATGGACATATCAGGTGTAAAAGTAGGACATATGTTCAGCAAAATATATCAGTCTGCAGCATCGGGTGCTCTGTAGCTCACCTTGCTTCATGTCCCAGGGGCGGTTGGGTAGCCTAGTAGTTAAAGCGTTCGCTCGTCACACTGAAGACCCGGGTTCAATTCCCAACATGGGTACAATGTGTGAAGCCCATTTCTGGTGTCCCCCGCCGTGATATTGCTTAAATATTGCTAAAAGCAGCGTAAAACTCACTCATTTCCCCATGATACTGCACTGTAGTGCATACAATGTATTTTACATACAACATACAAACAGTTACCAGGATTAAGACTTTATTGTCAGATCTTTATATTTGCATCTTGAATAACAAAATAGCTTATGAGAAAACGCCAAAACAATCATTTAAAAAATACCACTAATGTGTATCAATAATAACAGTGTATATATATAAGGCACAGATTGTCAGGTAATTGATTGAACTAAAGATTTTCAGTATTTAGTCCCTCAATCGCACAAGTTTAGAGGCACTTGAGAGAAACATGGCTTCACTTGTTAACACCATAACATGGGACCCTTTGAGTGGAAGCACTTAAGAGACATGGCACTTAATTCTTACACAGCGATGTGGAGTGACATCTGGTCAGTATGATGAGACTAAAGTACTGAATATGATTGCTCGATCACTTAATGCTGAGATTAACATCTATCAAATAGAGTATTATATTATCACATTATTGCTTTGTGCACCACCAACAACAACTGCATTTGTCTGGCACTAAAACCATGCTCTCACTATCAGGCCTGCCCCATAGCTTTTTTGCTCATCTGTAATGAAAACAGAAATGGGTCAGGCCTTAATAGCAAGTAAGACAGGATAACACCATGGCAACACATTTGTCCCCTTCACTACACAGTGCCATGTCATACTGGATTAATGGATTACTGGATCAAATAGGAACTGTCAGTTCACGAGGGCACCTCAAGTGAACATGAACATAGCTGGGAAGCATGTCCACTATCTAATGGAGGGAAGCATGTCCATCTGATGTGTAGCTTCACCTACAGATGGAAGCATGTCCACCATCTGATGGAGGGAAGCATGTCCACCATCTGATGGAGGGAAGCATGTCCACCATCTGATGGAGGGAAGCATGTCCACCATCTGATGGAGGGAAGTATGTCCACCATCTGATGGAGGGAAGCATGTCCACCATCTGATGGAGGGAAGCATGTCCACCATCTGATGGAGGGAAGCATGTCCACCATCTGATGGAGGGAAACATATCCACCATCTGATGAAGGGAAGCATGTCCACCATCTGATGGAGGGAAACATGTCCACCATCTGATGGAGGGAAGCATATCCACCATCTGATGGAGGGAAGCATGTCCACCATCTGATGGAGGGAAGCATATCCAACATATGATGGGTAGCTGCATCTACAAAGGGAAGCATGTCCACCATCTGATGTGTAGCTTCATGTACAGAGGGAAGCATGTCCACCATCTGATGTGTAGCTTCATGTACAGAGAGAAGCATATCCACCATTTGATGGAGGGAAGCATGTCCACCATCTGATGTGTAGCTTCATGTACAGAGGGAAGCATATCCACCATCTGATGGAGGGAAGCATATCCACCATCTGATGGAGGGAAGCATGTCCACCATGTGATGTGTAGCTTCATGTACAGAGGGAAGCATATCCACCATCTGATGGAGGGAAGCATGTCCACCATGTGATGTGTAGCTTCATGTACAGAGGGAAGCATATCTACCATCTGATGGAGGGAAGCATATCTACCATCTGATGGAGGGAAGCATGTCCACCATCTGATGTGTAGCTTCATGTACAGAGGGAAGCATGTCCACCATCTGATGTGTAGCTTCATGTACAGAGAGAAGCATATCCACCATCTGATGGAGGGAAGCATGTCCACCATCTGATGTGTAGCTTCATGTACAGAGGGAAGCATATCCACCATCTGATGGAGGGAAGCATGTCCACCATGTGATGTGTAGCTTCATGTACAGAGGGAAGCATATCCACCATCTGATGGAGGGAAGCATGTCCACCATGTGATGTGTAGCTTCATGTACAGAGGGAAGCATATCTACCATCTGATGGAGGGAAGCATGTCCACATCTGATGGAGGGAAACATGTCCAACTGATGGAGGGAACCATGTCCACCATGTGATGTGTAGCTTCATGTACAGAGGGAAGCATATCCACCATCTGATGGAGGGAAATATGTCCATCTGATGGAGGGAAGCATGTCCACCATGTGATGTGTAGCTTCATGTACAGAGGGAAGCATGTCCACCATCTGATGGAGGGAAGCATGTCCATCTGATATAGGGAAGCATGTCCACCATGTGATGTGTAGCTTCATGTACAGAGGGAAGCATATCCACCATGTGATGTGTAGCTTCATGTACAGAGGGAAGCATGTCCACCATGTGATGTGTAGCTTCATGTACAGAGGGAAGCATATCCACCATGTGATGTGTAGCTTCATGTACAGAGGGAAGCATATCCACCATGTGATGTGTAGCTTCATGTACAGAGGGAAGCATATCCACCATGTGATGTGTAGCTTCATGTACAGAGGGAAGCATGTCCACCATGTGATGTGTAGCTTCATGTACAGAGGGAAGCATGTCCACCATCTGATGTGTAGCTTCATGTACAGAGAGAAGCATATCCACCATGTGATGTGTAGCTTCATGTACAGAGGGAAGCATGTCCACCATGTGATGTGTAGCTTCATCTACAGAGGGAAGCATGTCCACCATGTGATGTGTAGCTTCATGTACAGAGGGAAGCATGTCCACCATCTGATAAAGTTTGTACAACTATCAGCAATATATCATTTCTTAGTTAATCCAGATGTAAGAGATCTGAATAATAGCTGTAATACATCCTTTTGATATGTACAATATATCAATTTGCATGCATAGCAAACACATATTTGGGTATCATAAGGAGCCTCCATTCCAAGCATTGTACACATCATCCACAAACCTACACGTGACAATTAGCATTATATATGACTGCATAACTCTAAAAACCACATTGGAGTGTTGTTATATCTTGAAAACATATAACTTGTATGTATTACTGGAAAGGTTACGGACATCCACATAAGATACAGACCCTGTAACACACTACTGCTGATCATCTGTGCATTGTGAATGTCAACATGTCAACCAGACCCTGTAACACACTACTGCTGATCATCTGTGCATTGTGAATGTCAACATGTCAACCAGACCCTGCTACAGGAGCCAGATGAAAGTGAGAAGATGTAACTTTCTTTGTGAGTTAAATATTCACATGTCTTGTTGACCTGGTATATGGTTTCCCAGTTTGCCAAGTCTCTGATCCAACCTCAATCTCATTAAAATCAGATCTAAGCTCTCGTTGCCGCTAAATAAAGATCTGAGGACATCCCATTACGGGTCACGTCAGAACAACCTTTCGCGAACTTTGACCAACCACTGAAATGACTAACAAGAAGACGACATCAGCCAGTTAGAAAGCAGCTTTCTCGAGCTTTACGGCACTCATTTCAACCTGGTGACTTCCATTTAAGCTACTTCCCACGTACTGTGCAACGCCTCTTCTGTTCAAAGTTTTATCCCATTGAAGTGAGAGATAGACTATAAATTTGATGGAATCAGTCATACGGACCGTAACTGTCGTTCGGAATATCCTGTGTTAACGTTTGAGGTTGCATGATTAGAAAACGCATTCCGACTGTCACTTTCATGATCAGGTAAGGGACACTTTGATTGGTCAGATAAAAGGTCGTTCTGACCTGACCCGTAATGGGTTGACCTCAGATTTTTGTTTAGCGATAGTGATAGTGATATTAATGAGATTGATCCAACCATTTCTGACACCTTATAAACAACAAAACCTACAGCTGTAGATGTTTCCTGTGTTTCATTAATAAAGTCATTGAAACAGAAATTTCATATTAATTACTTCTGTTACACCCAAGCAAAATCAAACATGAGCAAACACCATCCCCAACAAAGTTCACACTGTACCTGTAAATGGTAAGCAATATATGAAGGTGTAAGATTCCAACACTACAACCCCAAACATGCATGAGCGATCACAGCAATGACAGTAGCTGCACCCAAGTAACCCTGTCCCAACACCCACTTCCAGCAGAGCACAACATAGCAGCATCACATCTACACTTGATAAATACTAGTATCTGTTTCACCACACAAACACTGAACCCATTTTCCCCAGTCAGTCCAAGTATCCAGTTGTCCATATTGTGGCTGTATGTAAACATAGTCCTGTCAAGTGTCAGTTTCAGGTTTCACATCATCAATGCAAGTTGTTGCATGGCACTGTTAGATAGCTGACTATCAACACATTCATCCCATTAAATTACATCAGCAGCATAATGTTACAACTATTCTTGTGCACCCGTGTTTGAGGGGGCATCTTTAAAAATGACAAATACATACAGCACTTGTAAAAATATCCACAAACATTTCAAAGTGTAGATAAATATTTCTTTATCAAAACATGCCAATTCAAATAGGTCATAGAAAAAAAGCTACTGGAACTCTGACCTGGCAACTTTATGGCAGCGGTGTTAGGTATGCACTAGTTAGCACATACCTAACACATCTCTTAATGTTCTACAGGTAACCTTCCCTGTAATGCCAGTACTGCTGGTCAGATAGAGCCACTTGGAGAATCTTTTCTCCATGGTACAATCCCTTCAGAAGTCAGAACAAAATGGTGTTGTAGCAAAGCTCCACTGGGATGCCATCACCTGTGCAACATAAATCCTGAACCCAGGACTTACACTCATCAAGAACACAGAGTCACACAGATCTGACTTTAATAAGCACACCACGTCTACAAAGTCAGATTAAACTGACTTCATCAAGAACACACATCTACAGTCCGACTGATCTGACTTCAGCCATAACACACATGTCTACAGAGTCAGATTGATCCAATCTCATTTAAATCAGGAATTGGTCAGATGACAGGTCCTACTGACGTGACCTGTAATGGGATGTCTTCAGATCTTTGTTTAGCAGTAGCGAGAACTAAGATCAGATTTTAAAGAGAGTGGATTGATCTGACTTTATCAAGAACACACTTGTCTACAGGGTCAGACTGATCTGACTTTATGAGGAACATAAATATGATGATTGAGTCAGATTGATCTGACATGCAATACTCGAGGTTGGCCCTCTCTTAGCTGCCGGAAGAACTTGGGGCTCCACTGTACATGTCTAGAGTTTGTCTAGAAAGTGAAAGTCTTCTGCTGTTTCCCATCACCTGCATAGAAGTGTTGTTTCAGGTTAACATGTCATCATTCCATGTGAATGTGTTCGTTGAGTGCTGTGTTTAGTGGACATATCATTCCATGTGAATGTGTTCGTTGAGTGCTGTGTTTAGTGGACATTTCATTCCATGTGAATGTGTTCGTTGAGTGCTGTGTTTAGTGGACATATCATTCCATGTGAATGTGTTCGTTGAGAGTAGTGTTTAGTGGACATATCATTCCATGTGAATGTGTTCGTTGAGTGCTGTGTTTAGTGGACATATCATTCCATGTGAATGAGTTCGTTGAGTGCTGTGTTTAGTGGACATATCATTCCATGTGAATGAGTTCGTTGAGTGCTGTGTTTAGTGGACATATCATTCCATGTGAATGTGTTCGTTGAGTGCTGTGTTTAGTGGACATATCATTCCATGTGAATGTGTTCGTTGAGAGCAGTGTTTAGTGGACATATCATTCCATGTGAATGAGTTCGTTGAGTGCTGTGTTTAGTGGACATATCATTCAATGTGAATGAGTTCGTTGAGTGCTGTGTTTAGTGGACATATCATTCCATGTGAATGAGTTCGTTGAGTGCTGTGTTTAGTGGACATATCATTCCATGTGAATGAGTTCGTTGAGTGCTGTGTTTAGTGGACATATCATTCCATGTGAATGAGTTCGTTGAGTGCTGTGTTTAGTGGACATATCATTCAATGTGAATGAGTTCGTTGAGTGCTGTGTTTAGTGGACATATTCCATGTGAATGAGTTCGTTGAGTGCTGTGTCTAGTGGACATATTATCCCATGTGAATGTGAATGTGTTTGTTGAGTGCTGTGTTTAGTGGACACATCATCCCATGTGAATGTGTTGTTGAGTGCTGTGTTTAGTGGACACATCATCCCATGTGAATGTGAATGTGCACAATTCATGCTCTATTCAAAACTGGCTGTGCTATGGTTACAAAAAGACATTTTCAAAATGGCTGCCATGGTGGCATGTTTAACTTTTGAAAAGTTTTCAATAGATTGGCAATGTGCCACTACATAAGCTCACTTTAATTTTCAGTTCAGCCAAGCTGAAACTACCGTTACAATTATACAGTAAACCTCTTAGCATGGCAAGACTTACCATCAGGTTTCCAGTTTGAGTTGAAGTGTTTCTGTAGAGTCTGCCAACACTGATAATACTTGGGGTCTACTTTGTTCTTGTTTCCCCATTCTGTCACAGCCATACTGTATGATGACTCAAACATGAACGCCTGCAATATTACACAGAATGGAAATCATTACAACTAGACCAACTTAGTTCCTGAATCTATCAAAACAAAATATTGAAAAACAAACAAAACGTCTCAGTAGTAATTTTCAACTTTATTTACGAGGGGTGTTCATTAAAGATTTCCCCTAAACCACTTAGGGTTATCATATTTGGTTGAAATTTCACATGTGTAATGATACATGTATCTATGGGTTATGTCTGAATTTGCAGCACCGAACTATTAATCTTACCACTTTCACAGGTGTTATGATCGAGTAGGGTGTGACAATGGAGCCAGTAGAATACCGAGCAGTGATTAGGTTTTTATATTTGAAAGGTCGCACACCAAAAGAAACTTTCGATGAAATGAAAGCAACTTATGGGTAAGATGCCCCATCATATGACGTTGTTAAACACTGGCATCGCCAGTTCAAGTGTGGTCGGACATCTGTGGAAACAGCTGCCATTCCTGGTCGCCCCCATTCAGCCATTGATGAGGACACTATCCATCAAGTGGAGACCGCCATTTTGGCAGACCGACGTATAACTGGTCGCCAGTTAGCACAAGATGTCAAGATCAGTGTAGGGTCTGTGGAAAAAATCATCCATGACAATTTGAACCTGCATAAGGTGTCTGCACGATGGATTCCCATGTTGCTCACACCTTTCCAGTCAATTGCTCAAAGGATCTTTTGGACATGTGCCAAAAAAAACAGGCAAACTTTTTTGACAGGATTATCACACAGGATGAAACATGGGTCCATTACTATGATCCTGAGACTAAAGTTCAGTCGATGCAATGGAAGCATGTGGAGTCACCACCCCCAAAGAAGGCACGTGTCCAACCCTCTGCAGGCAAGGTCATGCTCACGGTGTGACTGATCTGACTTTATGAGGAACATAAATATGATGATTGAGTCAGATTGATCTGACATGCAATACTCGAGGTTGGCCCTCTCTTAGCTGCCGGAAGAACTTGGGGCTCCACTGTACATGTCTAGAGTTTGTCTAGAAAGTGAAAGTCTTCTGCTGTTTCCCATCACCTGCATAGAAGTGTTGTTTCAGGTTAACATGTCATCATTCCATGTGAATGTGTTCGTTGAGTGCTGTGTTTAGTGGACATATCATTCCATGTGAATGTGTTCGTTGAGTGCTGTGTTTAGTGGACATATCATTCCATGTGAATGTGTTCGTTGAGTGCTGTGTTTAGTGGACATATCATTCCATGTGAATGTGTTCGTTGAGAGTAGTGTTTAGTGGACATATCATTCCATGTGAATGTGTTCGTTGAGTGCTGTGTTTAGCGGACATATCATTCCATGTGAATGAGTTCGTTGAGTGCTGTGTTTAGTGGACATATCATTCCATGTGAATGAGTTCGTTGAGTGCTGTGTTTAGTGGACATATCATTCCATGTGAATGTGTTCGTTGAGTGCTGTGTTTAGTGGACATATCATTCCATGTGAATGTGTTCGTTGAGAGCAGTGTTTAGTGGACATATCATTCCATGTGAATGAGTTCGTTGAGTGCTGTGTTTAGTGGACATATCATTCAATGTGAATGAGTTCGTTGAGTGCTGTGTTTAGTGGACATATCATTCAATGTGAATGAGTTCGTTGAGTGCTGTGTTTAGTGGACATATTCCATGTGAATGAGTTCGTTGAGTGCTGTGTCTAGTGGACATATTATCCCATGTGAATGTGAATGTGTTCGTTGAGTGCTTTGCTTAGTGGACATATCATTCCATGTTAATGTGTTGTTCAGCAAGGTCATGCTCACGGTGTTTTGGGAGTAGTGATGATGGATTTCTTGGCAAAGGGTACCACAATTACAGGAGCTTATTATGCTTCACTGCTGCGGAAATTGCGGGACGCTATCAAGCTTAAGAGGTGTGGCATGCTGACCAAGGGTGTCTGTCTCCTGCAAGACAATGCTCCAGTACACAACTCTCATGTTGTCCAGACAGAAGCGCAGTCCTGTGGCTATGAAATCCTTCCACATCCTCCTTACTCTCCTGACCTTGCACCATCTGACTTCCACCTCTTTCCAACCATGACGTCATTTTTTAAGGGAAAACGTTTCACAGATGATGAAACACTGATTTCTGAAGTCAAGTCCTTGTTTGAGATGCAAAATGAGGGCTTTTACAAGCGAGGTCTCCATAGTTGCATAAAACGATGGGAGAAGTGTGTAACTCTTGGTGGTTCCTATGTGGAGAAAGACTAATACCTATGCCAAGTTTCATTCCACTCGGTCCATCGGAAGTGGGTCAGGGGAAATCTTTAATGAACACCCCTCGTACTTGCAGAAATAAGTAACTGTGCTTCATTTATAGTTCAATAATAACAAAATTATTATGAAATCAAATAATGCATCTTTGAATACATATTCATGAAAATGTCTCCTTGACATGCATGTTCATGAACAAATTTTATGTCTGCGTATTTGTCATCTCTAATAATGGCTTGGACATGTACGTCGCAGACACACGTGATGTTGCTAATGAATAATTTGCATACTCGTATATGCAAGGGGTTGGTGTATGCTTCTCAGCAGGAAGTGACAACTTGGAGACGGCTTGCGGTATATACAAATTTACTTTATACAGGTAGATATATACATCGAAAAGACTATATATATATATATATATATATATATATATATATAATCTGTCTCTGTTTCTCTCTCTCTCTGTTCATTCAAACAATGGTTGTTGTAAATCAGTCGCTATGACATCTATATGCAGACGTTATCTACAGCAGGACAACACTCATACCTTGCAAAGGGCCAGTCATCCACACATGATGTCACGTCAACAAAAAAACATATTCAGTTGGTGCTTCTATGGTATAGATACCAAACTGCCACATTAACAACTAATGATTTCTTGGTTGAGGCCAGACTGGTAGAATGACACAACTACACCCTCCATACACAACCACAATCTCCATACAGGAAGTTACTGGTAGAATGACAAAACCATAATCTCCATACAGGAAGTTACTGGTAGAATGACACAACCACAATCTCCATACAGGAAGTTACTGGTAGAAAGACACAACCAAAACCTCCATACAGGAAGTTACTGGTAGAATGACACAACAACACCCTCCATACAGGAAGTTACTGGTAGAATGACACAACCACAATCTCCATACAGGAAGTTACTGGTAGAATGACACAACAACACCCTCCATACAGGAAGTTACTGGTAGAATGACACAACCACAATCTCCATACAGGAAGTTACTGGTAGAATGACACAACAACTACACCCTCCATACAGGAAGTTACTGGTAGAATGACACAACCACAATCTCCATACAGGAAGTTACTGGTAGAATGACACAACTTCAATCTCCATACAGGAAGTTACTGGTAGAAAGACACAACCACAATCTCCATACAGGAAGTTACTGGTAGAATGACACAACAACACCCTCCATACAGGAAGTTACTGGTAGAATGACACAACCACAATCTCCATACAGGAAGTTACTGGTAGAATGACACAACCACAATCTCCATACAGGAAGTTACTGGTAGAATGACAACAACTACACCCTCCATACAGGAAGTTACTGGTAGAATGACACAACAACACCCTCCATACAGGAAGTTACTGGTAGAATGACACAACAACACCCTCCATACAGGAAGTTACTGGTAGAATGACAACAACTACACCCTCCATACAGGAAGTTACTGGTAGAATGACACAACAACACCCTCCATACAGGAAGTTACTGGTAGAATGACACAACCACAATCTCCATACAGGAAGTTACTGGTAGAATGACAACAACTACACCCTCCATACAGGAAGTTACTGGTAGAATGACACAACAACACCCTCCATACAGGAAGTTACTGGTAGAATGACACAACCACAATCTCCATACAGGAAGTTACTGGTAGAATGACACAACAACTACACCCTCCATACAGGAAGTTACTGGTAGAATGACACAACCACAATCTCCAAACAGGAAGTTACTGGTAGAATGGCAACAACCACAATCTCCATACAGGAAGTTACTGGTAGAATGACACAACCATAATCTCCATACAGGAAGTTACTGGTAGAATGACACAACAACTACACCCTCCATACAGGAAGTTACTGGTAGAATGACACAACCACAATCTCCAAACAGGAAGTTACTGGTAGAATGGCAACAACCACAATCTCCATACAGGAAGTTACTGGTAGAATGACACAACTACACTCTCCATACAGGAAGTTACTGGTAGAATGACACAACTACACCCTCCATACAGGAAGTTACTGGTAGAATGACAACAACTACACCCTCCATACAGGAAGTTACTGGTAGAATGACACAACCACAATCTCCATACAGGAAGTTACTGGTAGAATGACACAACCACAATCTCCATACAGGAAGTTACTGGTAGAATGACACAACCACAATCTCCATACAGGAAGTTACTGGTAGAATGACAACAACTACACCCTCCATACAGGAAGTTACTGGTAGAATGACACAACCACAATCTCCATACAGGAAGTTACTGGTAGAATGACACAACCACAATCTCCATACAGGAAGTTACTGGTAGAATGACACAACAACACCCTCCATACAGGAAGTTACTGGTAGAATGACAACAACTTCACCCTCCATACAGGAAGTTACTGGTAGAATGACACAACCACAATCTCCATACAGGAAGTTACTGGTAGAATGACACAACTACACCCTCCATACAGGAAGTTACTGGTAGAATGACACAACAACTACACCCTCCATACAGGAAGTTACTGGTAGAATGACAACAACAACACCCTCCATACAGGAAGTTACTGGTAGAATGACACAACAACACCCTCCATACAGGAAGTTACTGGTAGAATGACACAACCACAATCTCCATACAGGAAGTTACTGGTAGAATGACACAACCACAATCTCCATACAGGAAGTTACTGGTAGAATGACACAACTACAATCTCCATACAGGAAGTTACTGGTAGAATGACAACAACAACACCCTCCATACAGGAAGTTACTGGTAGAATGACACAACAACACCCTCCATACAGGAAGTTACTGGTAGAATGACAACAACTTCACCCTCCATACAGGAAGTTACTGGTAGAATGACACAACCACAATCTCCATACAGGAAGTTACTGGTAGAATGACAACAACAACACCCTCCATACAGGAAGTTACTGGTAGAATGACACAACAACACCCTCCATACAGGAAGTTACTGGTAGAATGACACAACCACCACAATCTCCATACAGGAAGTTACTGGTAGAAAGACACAACCACAATCTCCATTCAGGAAGTTACTGGTAGAATGACACAACAACTACACCCTCCATACAGGAAGTTACTGGTAGAATGACACAACAACTACACCCTCCATACAGGAAGTTACTGGTAGAATGACACAACAACGACAATCTCCATACAGGAAGTTACTGGTAGAATGACACAACAACTACACCCTCCATACAGGAAGTTACTGGTAGAATGACAACAACAACACCCTCCATACAGGAAGTTACTGGTAGAATGACACAACCACAATCTCCATACAGGAAGTTACTGGTAGAATGACAACAACAACACCCTCCATACAGGAAGTTACTGGTAGAATGACACAACAACACCCTCCATACAGGAAGTTACTGGTAGAATGACACAACCACCACAATCTCCATACAGGAAGTTACTGGTAGAAAGACACAACCACAATCTCCATTCAGGAAGTTACTGGTAGAATGACACAACAACTACACCCTCCATACAGGAAGTTACTGGTAGAATGACACAACAACTACACCCTCCATACAGGAAGTTACTGGTAGAATGACACAACAACACCCTCCATACAGGAAGTTACTGGTAGAATGACACAACCACAATCTCCATACAGGAAGTTACTGGTAGAATGACACAACCACAATCTCCATACAGGAAGTTACTGGTAGAATGACACAACTACAATCTCCATACAGGAAGTTACTGGTAGAATGACAACAACAACACCCTCCATACAGGAAGTTACTGGTAGAATGACACAACAACACCCTCCATACAGGAAGTTACTGGTAGAATGACAACAACTTCACCCTCCATACAGGAAGTTACTGGTAGAATGACACAACCACAATCTCCATACAGGAAGTTACTGGTAGAATGACAACAACAACACCCTCCATACAGGAAGTTACTGGTAGAATGACACAACAACACCCTCCATACAGGAAGTTACTGGTAGAATGACACAACCACCACAATCTCCATACAGGAAGTTACTGGTAGAAAGACACAACCACAATCTCCATTCAGGAAGTTACTGGTAGAATGACACAACAACTACACCCTCCATACAGGAAGTTACTGGTAGAATGACACAACAACTACACCCTCCATACAGGAAGTTACTGGTAGAATGACACAACAACGACAATCTCCATACAGGAAGTTACTGGTAGAATGACACAACAACTACACCCTCCATACAGGAAGTTACTGGTAGAATGACAACAACAACACCCTCCATACAGGAAGTTACTGGTAGAATGACACAACCACAATCTCCATACAGGAAGTTACTGGTAGAATGACAACAACAACACCCTCCATACAGGAAGTTACTGGTAGAATGACACAACAACACCCTCCATACAGGAAGTTACTGGTAGAATGACACAACCACCACAATCTCCATACAGGAAGTTACTGGTAGAAAGACACAACCACAATCTCCATTCAGGAAGTTACTGGTAGAATGACACAACAACTACACCCTCCATACAGGAAGTTACTGGTAGAATGACACAACAACTACACCCTCCATACAGGAAGTTACTGGTAGAATGACACAACAACGACAATCTCCATACAGGAAGTTACTGGTAGAATGACACAACAACTACACCCTCCATACAGGAAGTTACTGGTAGAATGACAACAACAACACCCTCCATACAGGAAGTTACTGGTAGAATGACACAACCACAATCTCCATACAGGAAGTTACTGGTAGAATGACAACAACAACACCCTCCATACAGGAAGTTACTGGTAGAATGACACAACAACACCCTCCATACAGGAAGTTACTGGTAGAATGACACAACCACCACAATCTCCATACAGGAAGTTACTGGTAGAAAGACACAACCACAATCTCCATTCAGGAAGTTACTGGTAGAATGACACAACAACTACACCCTCCATACAGGAAGTTACTGGTAGAATGACACAACAACTACACCCTCCATACAGGAAGTTACTGGTAGAATGACACAACAACGACAATCTCCATACAGGAAGTTACTGGTAGAATGACACAACAACACTCTCCATACAGGAAGTTACTGGTAGAATGACACAACAACTACACCCTACATGTTGCAGAGTTACCATTGTCCCAGTGGCTATTTTCTCAGGTTTGAGTTCAGCATTGGAGGTCTTTTCAAAGCACTCAGCATCAGGTCCGTGTGGTGTCATCAGGCTGTGCAGACTGGCTCCCCCGGGGCGGAACCCCTCCTCCTGAAACAATGACAAGAGTCATCAACAGATGACAGATCCCCCAGCCCCTACAAATTGGAAAGAACAAATCATCTGACTGTCCAACTAAATGAGTTAATTCCTATCTAATAAAACAATACCATGGTATTGGGATTCAGAACTTTGTATTTCTATGACAGGTACACACCACTATGAACAGAGTCAAAATCAAACTTGTTGCCATGGCACCAGTTCACCAGTAGACCTATCTATGTGCCAAGTTTGGTTAAAATATCTCTCATGTTTTTTTAGTTCTGCTCCAGAAACGAAATGTGACAGACGGACAGCACTCATTCCTATATGCCCCTTCCACTTCGTTGAGGGGATAAAAATCGCCAAATAGCGATAGGCACCAGTTGACAACCTGGTCTTTTTCAAGAAAGACTACCTATCAGTTAAAGAGATATGGTCTGATCAAACACAAGTGAGTGAGTGAGTATGGTTTGGCAATATTCCAGCAATATCATGGTGGGGGATACCAGAAATGGGCTTCACACATTGTACCCATATCAGGAATAGAAACCGGGTCTTCGGTGTGACAACGAATGCTTTAACCACTGAGCTACCTGACCGCCCCCGATCAAACACAACTATGAAACTATGAACAGAGTCAAAGTAAAACTTGTTGCCATGGAAATAGAAAATAAATAAACTATAAACACCCCTATGTAGCAAATGGCACCATTTGACAACCTTGACTTTGCATGTGCAAAGTGTTATGAAAGAATATTTATTAGTCTTAGAAATATGGTCCGGACAAACACACCACTATGAACATAGTCAAAAGTCAAACTTGTCGCCATGGAAACAGGAAAAACTGTTAAAATTCCTAAATAGTAAAAGGCACCACTTCAGTATGGTGGCCGAGAGGGGACATCGCTTTCTCGCTTTATCGCTTTCTCGCTTTCTCTTTTTCTCGCTCTATCGCTATCTCGCGGTATAGCAATATTCCCTCTTGGCCATAATATGGGTCGCATGCGTTATGTGTTTCTTTACGATAAAAAGTATATACGTAAAACAACATTAATGAATTGTCCTCAGTGTGTGTGTGTGTGTTTGGGGGGGGGGGGGGGGGCTGATGTGGGTTTTAATCATAAAAGAGAGCTGAGATTTTTCCAGTCGCCTTTCAAATTATACATATGGACGGAATGTTGAAATTTTCTCACTATCTACTTACATATAATTTAACAGTACAGACATATGTGCTTTTATAACAATCCACTTATTTCTGTGTAAAAAAAAATTTGACTGATTTATGGCCCTATTTAGCTATTGGATCCCCCGCTCCAAGGCCAAGTTATCAAAACAAATAGCAAATAACACCGCTCAATAGCGCTGAGTAGTAAGTACTTCCTAAAAAGCAATAGTGTTTTCCTTAAAACAATGCTTATATCAATGTTTATTCTGTTTACGAAGTAGATGTCATCAAAGTGGAAGACCTCACCCAAGCAATGGTAATACTACCGGATGTCCATTATGTAATTTCTAGATTTTGGATAACATATTGTTCTCAGTAACCGTAATGTGGAAATAGATAGTTGATTGGTTTTATATTCAAGTTGGTATTTCCGCTATTCAACGTGTTCAGTGAGGCCGTCTTATCAACAGTCATTTCTGAGACATAAATGCAAAGTATAATTACCGTATTCGACGTAATAAGCGCCCCGCTCTAATAAACGCCCACGGCGATATTTGCTAATATATTGGCTAGTGAACAATCCCAATTAGCCCCCCTTCCGATTGATTAATGTACACTAGACTTATTTATTCGCGTATAATACGCACTTGTTATATGCACACTTAATTATGGGCAATTAAATTCGGGGAAAATATATCTGTCGTACATAAACAAATTAAACAATTAATCTTTCAACTCAACTTTTTTTTCACCAAAATAATATTCTAATTTTGAGAGCGCCCTGGGCGCTTATTATGTCGAATACGGTAATTAAGTCTACGCTTATTTTTTTGCATTTATAATTTACTTGAACGTTAATTTCAAGATTTATAGTACATACTGTTCAAAAGAAGTTAAAGAACACCTGATTCCTTCATATGACTATGGTTAGTCATTAGAGGAAGCGATAGAGTGAGAAAGCGATAGAGCGATAAAGCAATAGAGCGAGAAAGCAATAGATCGAGAAAGCGATAAAGTGAGAAAGCAATAGAGCGAGAAAGCGAGAGAGCGAGAAAGCGATATTTCCCATAATGCCGTACATTTAAACGTTTTTTGCTGATATTCTCACCGCTATTTTGCCTCTTATGATTAGATTTTTAAACATCTTGAAGTAGATAAACATGTAACAAAATACACACGTAATTTTTTTTCTCGTTTAGCTTGCATATTTTCTTGTAGTGTAATAAATAAGCAAGATTCAAAGAATACAGATAGTCACTGTTCATATTTTCATTTCGTTCATAGTCAGTTTTATTAGCCAGTTTGTATTGTTTGCAACGTCCAAAGAATTATTTTTTTCGGTAATTAGATTTGGAATTGAAGCTGAATATGTGCTCTTCCGATTTCGGGATCACAATTATGTTCATTAAGTTGCATGTACATTATGCATACATGTACACAGTTGTTTCCCTTACAAAATACAGATGAATTAGATATATGTCTCTACCTTAAGTCACAAATAGGACTTTCGAGAGCGTCATTAACCCGTAACCCCATTCCTTGGATAATACAAATGAAATGCGTTGTAAATATTTTTAAAAACAACTCGTTTCTTATAATGACTTTCGATCAAACTGTCTTCGGGAATTAAATTTAATGCTAAAGTGCTTGTAAAATAAAGTTTAACTTTCCTGCCAGGAGAGACTAGATATCCAATTATAGTATAGGCTCAGCCAGGAATATACATATTTATGTAGCAATTCTCTATCCATTTAAACTGTATGGTTAACAATTGTGCGTTCTGATGTGAGTTATGTTGTTATCTACTACCTGTTTACACAGACAATGAGTCGGACACACACACAAAAACACACACACACACACACACACACACACAAACACACACACACACACACACACACACACACACACACACACACACACACACATACATAATTTTGACAAACCTATACTTAAGATATACATAACATATGCCTATTTCTGGTGTTACCCGTGATATTACTGGATTATTGTTAAAAGCGACGTGAAACCATTCTCACTCACTAACTCACTCACTCACAGCAGTGTTTACTAAATTACTATATGCAAGTACATATATTTGTAGATTTGCACAAGACAAGAAACACAATTCAAGTGAAACATACATCAAATGTCAAAAAGAACATTTACAGACAACATTATGACACACTGTAACATCATATACTACCGAAAACAAGTTATAGAACACCCACAATTATAAGATTGTATTTTTGCAAAACAATCAGCCATGACTAATTAACCATAGTCTTCTTAACTTCTTTTGAAAAGTATATATTTAGATTTTAACCTAATTTATTTAGAGCGTATTGCCATGATCTGCCACGCGCTTTTGGCGAGATGGTCACATACAACTGAATAGGGCCATAAATAAATCAATTACATTTAACGCAAAAATCGGTGGATTGTTTTAAAATCACCTACGTCTGTACAGTTAAATTATGTTTTAAGTAAATAGTGAGAAAAGTTAAACATTACCTCCTAATTGCAGCAGATATCACATGCGACCCCTGTAGTGGTCAAGAGGGGATATTGCTTAACCGCGAGAAAGCGAGAATGCGATGCCCCCTCTCGGCCACCATACTTCAGCCCTTGTATAAAGTTTGGATGAAAAAGGTTGAATAGTTTTTTAGTTCTGCTCCAAAACACTACCTCTGTTTCAGCTGAGTCTAACTTGTTTCCAGGGAAACATCAAATTTTGAAAAATACCTAAATAGCACTGGGCACCACTCCAGCCCTTGTTTAATACATGTACCAGGTTTGGCTGAAAAGTTTTTCACAGTTTTCAAGTTGTGCCTACCCCCCCATTTTGTTTCCATGGAAATTGTGAAAATTGAAAATGCCAAAAATCTGTAAATAACAAGGCACCACTTCAGGACCTGTTTGACATATCTGCCAAGTTTTGTTGAAAAATATTGAACGGTTTTCAAGATACGCTCTGGAAATGAAATGATTACGGATGGACAGACAGATAGATTAGAAAAATATATTTATATCATGATCTTAGAATCTAATTTCAATTGAAATATGTAAACTGAATATTCAAATCCAATGGTAACATACCTTAGCTTCATATGCACCATAAATAAGACCCATGAACTCACTCATACAGTTCCCTGCAACAGACAACAAAACTTCAGAATTAGGATTGCAGACATCAAATCAATAACATCCACAGGGAAACCAGTTCTAAAGGTGTAGTATTAGGACTGTCTGGAGGTGTGCTGTAGTAGTAGGACTGTCTGGAGGTGTCCTGTAGTAGTAGGACTGCCTAGAGGTGTGCTGTAGTATTATGACTGTCTGAATGTGTGCTGTAGCAGTAGGACTGTCTGAAGGTGTGCTGTAGTAGTAGGACTGTCGGAAGGTGTGCTCTAGTATTAGGACTGTCTGAAGGTGTGCTGTAGTAGTAGGACTGTCGGAAGGTGTGCTGTAGTAGTAGGACTGTCTGAAGGTGTGCTGTAGCAGTAGGACTGTCTGAAGGAGTGCTGTAGCAGTAGGACTGTCGGAAGGTGTGCTGTAGTAGTAGGACTGTCGGAAGGTGTGCTCTAGTAGTAGGACTGTCTGAAGGTGTGCTGTAGTAGTAGGACTGTCTGAAGGTGTGCTGTAGTAGTAGGACTGTCTGAAGGTGTGCTGTAGCAGTAGGACTGTCTGAAGGAGTGCTGTAGTAGTAGGACTGTCTCAAGGAGTGCTGTAGCAGTAGGACTGTCTGAAGGTGTGCTGTAGTAGTAGGACTGTCGGAAGGTGTGCTCTAGTAGTAGGACTGTCTGAAGGTGTGCTGTAGTAGTAGGACTGTCGGAAGGTGTGCTGTAGTAGTAGGACTGTCTGAAGGTGTCCTGTAGTAGTAGGACTGTCTGAAGGTGTGCTGTAGTAGTAGGACTGCCAGAAGGTGTGCTGTAGTAGTAGGACTGTCGGAAGGTGTGCTGTAGCATAAGGACTGTCTGAAGATGTCCTGTAGCAGTAGGACTGCCTGAAGGTGTGGTGTAGTATTAGGACTGTCTGAAGATGTGCTGTAGTAGTAGGACTGTCGGAAGGTGTGGTGTAGTATTAGGACTGCCTGAAGGTGTGCTGTAGCAGTAGGACTGCCTGAAGGTGTGCTGTAGCAGTAGGACTGCCTGAAGGTGTGCTGTAGCAGTAGGACTGCCTGAAGGTGTGCTGTAGTAGTAGGACTGTCGGAAGGTGTGCTGTAGCAGTGAGACTGTCTGAAGGTGTGCTGTAGCAGTAGGACTGTCTGAAGAAGTGCTGTAGTAGTAGGACTGCCTGAAGGTGTGGTGTAGTATAAGGACTGTCGGAAGGTGTGCTCTAGTAGTAGGACTGTCTGAAGGTGTGCTGTAGTAGTAGGACTGTCGGAAGGTGTGCTGTAGTAGTAGGACTGTTGGAAGGTGTGCTGTAGCAGTAGGACTGTCTGAAGATGTCCTGTAGCAGTAGGACTGCCTGAAGGTGTGGTGTAGTATTAGGACTGTCTGAAGATGTGCTGTAGTAGTAGGACTGTCGGAAGGTGTGGTGTAGTATTAGGACTGCCTGAAGGTGTGCTGTAGCAGTAGGACTGCCTGAAGGTGTGCTGTAGCAGTAGGACTGTCGGAAGGTGTGCTGTAGTAGTAGGACTGTCGGAAGGTGTGCTGTAGCAGTAGGACTGTCGGAAGGTGTGCTGTAGCAGTAGGACTGTCTGAAGGTGTGCTGTAGCAGTAGGAATGTCGGAAGGTGTGCTGTAGTAGTAGGACTGTCGGAAGGTGTGCTGTAGCAGTAGGACTGCCTGAAGGTGTGCTGTAGCAGTAGGAATGTCGGAAGGTGTGCTGTAGTAGTAGGACTGTCGGAAGGTGTGCTGTAGTAGTAGGACTGTTGGAAGGTGTGCTGTAGCAGTAGGACTGTCTGAAGATGTCCTGTAGCAGTAGGACTGCCTGAAGGTGTGGTGTAGTATTAGGACTGTCTGAAGATGTGCTGTAGTAGTAGGACTGTCGGAAGGTGTGGTGTAGTATTAGGACTGCCTGAAGGTGTGCTGTAGCAGTAGGACTGCCTGAAGGTGTGCTGTAGCAGTAGGACTGTCGGAAGGTGTGCTGTAGTAGTAGGACTGTCGGAAGGTGTGCTGTAGCAGTAGGACTGTCGGAAGGTGTGCTGTAGCAGTAGGACTGTCTGAAGGTGTGCTGTAGCAGTAGGAATGTCGGAAGGTGTGCTGTAGTAGTAGGACTGTCGGAAGGTGTGCTGTAGCAGTAGGACTGCCTGAAGGTGTGCTGTAGCAGTAGGAATGTCGGAAGGTGTGCTGTAGTAGTAGGACTGTCGGAAGGTGTGCTGTAGCAGTAGGACTGTCTGAAGGTGTGCTGTAGTAGTAGGACTGCCTGAAGGTGTGCTGTAGCAGTAGGACCGCCTGGAGGTGTGCTGTAATAGTAGGACTGTCTGAAGGTGTACTGTAGAAGTAGGATTGTCTGAAGGAGTGCTGTAGTATCAGGACTGTCTGAAGGTGTGCTGTAGCAGTAGGACTGTCTGAAGGTGTGGTGTACTAGTAGGACTGCCTGAAGGTGTGCTGTAGCAGTAGGACTGCCTGAAGGTGTGCTGTAGCAGTAGGACTGTCTGATGGTGTGCTGTAGTAGTAGGACTGTCTGAAGGTGTGCTGTAGTATCAGGACTGTCTGAAGGTGTGCTGTAGTATCAGGACTGTCTAAAGGAGTGCTTTAGTATCAGGACTGCCTGGACAGTGTGGTGTATTAGTAGGACTGTCTGAAGGTGTGCTGGAGTAGTAGGACTGTCTGAAGATGTGCTGTAGTAGTAGGAGTGTCTTTCACGGTGCTGTAGTAGTAGGACTGTCTGAAGGCTTGCAGTAGTAGTAAGATTGTCTGAAGGTGTACTCACTGTGAAATAAGGGAGGTTTGAAGGTGTACTCACTGTGAAAGTAGGGAGGTCTGAAGGTGTATCACTGTGATAATAGGGAGGTCTGAAGGTGTACTCACTGTGGTAGTAGGGAGGTCTGAAGGTGTACTCACTGTAGTAGTAGGGAGGTCTGAAGGTGTACTCACCGTGATAGTAGGGAGGTCTGAAGGTGTATCACTGTGATAGTAGGGAGGTCTGAAGGTGTACTCACTGTAGTAGTAGGGAGGTCTGAAGGTGTACTCACTGTAGTAGTAGGGAGGTCTGAAGGTGTATCACTGTGATAGTAGGGAGGTCAGAGAAGGTGTACTCACTGTAGTAGTAGGGAGGTCTGAAGGTGTATCACTGTGATAGTAGGGAGGTCAGAGAAGGTGTACTCGCTGTGATATTAGGAAGGTCTGTAGGTGTACTCACTGTGTTAGTAGGGAGGTCTGAAGGTGTACTCACTGTGAAAGTAGAAGGGTCTGAAGGTGTACTCATTGTGATAGTAGGGAGGTCTGAAGGTGCACTCACTGTGATAGTAGGGAGGTCTGAAGGTGTACTCATTGTGATAGTAGGAAGGTCTGTATGTGTACTCACTGTGATAGTAGGGAGGTCTGAAGGTGTATCACTGTGATAGTAGGGAGGTCTGAAGGTGTACTCACTGTGAAAGTAGGGAGGTCTGAAGGTGTACTCACTGTGATAGTAGGGAGGTCTGAAGGTGTACTCACTGTGATAGTAGGGAGGTCTGAAGGTGTACTCACCGTGATAGTAGGGAGGTCTGAAGGTGTACTCACTGTAGTAGTAGGGAGGTCTGAAGGTGTACTCACTGTGGTAGTAGGGAGGTCTGAAGGTGTACTCACTGTGATAGTAGGGAGGTCTGAAGGTGTACTCACTGTGATAGTAGGGAGGTCTGAAGGTGTACTCACTGTGATAGTAGGGAGGTCTGAAGGTGTATCACTGTGATAGTAGGGAGGTCTGAAGGTGTACTCACTGTGATAGTAGGGAGGTCTGAAGGTGTACTCACTGTGATAGTAGGGAGGTCTGAAGGTGTAGTCACTGTGATAGTAGGGAGGTCTGAAGGTGTACTCACCGTGATAGTAGGGAGGTCTGAAGGTGTACTCACTGTAGTAGTAGGGAGGTCTGAAGGTGTACTCACTGTGGTAGTAGGGAGGTCTGAAGGTGTACTCACTGTGGTAGAAGGGAGGTCTGAAGGTGTACTCACTGTGATAGTAGGGAGGTCTGAAGGTGTACTCACTGTGGTAGAAGGGAGGTCTGAAGGTGTACTCACTGTGGTAGTAGGGAGGTCTGAAGGTGTACTCACTGTGGTAGAAGGGAGGTCTGAAGGTGTACTCACTGTGATAGTAGGGAGGTCTGAAGGTGTACTCACTGTGATAGTAGGGAGGTCAGAGAAGGTGTACTCACTGTAGTAGTAGGGAGGTCTGAAGGTGTATCACTGTGATAGTAGGGAGGTCAGAGAAGGTGTACTCGCTGTGATATTAGGAATGTCTGTAGGTGTACTCACTGTGATAGTAGGGAGGTCTGAAGGTGTACTCACTGTGAAAGTAGAAGGGTCTGAAGGTGTACTCATTGTGATAGTAGGGAGGTCTGAAGGTGCACTCACTGTGATAGTAGGGAGGTCTGAAGGTGTACTCATTGTGATAGTAGGAAGGTCTGTATGTGTACTCACTGTGATAGTAGGGAGGTCTGAAGGTGTACTCACTGTAGTAGTAGGGAGGTCTGAAGGTGTACTCACTGTGATAGTAGGGAGGTCTGTAGGTGTACTCACTGTGATAGTAGGGAGGTCTGAAGGTGTACTCACTGTGATAGTAGGGAGGTCTGAAGGTGTAGTCACTGTGATAGTAGGGAGGTCTGAAGGTGTACTCACTGTGATAGTAGGGAGGTCTGAAGGTGTACTCACTGTGATAGTAGGGAGGTCTGAAGGTGTGCTCCTGTACTGACCAGCGGGGAGGGAAGATGACAAAGTCGGCTACGGCAGTACCAGGTTTTAGGGAGGGGCACGTCAGCACCGTGAAGATGGAGGGATCCTACAGTCAGATATACAAGGAACACTCACTCTCGTACATTGTCAGTAGTGATTGTTATCCATAAAAGACTTGTCTGGTGTCAGAATAGAATGCACACAGGGTAATAGGGCAATTCATGAATGAGGCAATTTCAGTAATGAGTTCCCAACAGGAATACTTACAGCATGATCATAAGCAACCGCATTGATGACCATAAACTTTGACAAGTCGTATTTGTAGGGAGCGTAGTTTCCATGCCATGCTACAACATCAAACGGTGAATGTTTCTGGAAAATAGACAGACAATTTATCAAAACCAATAATAGCAGAAATATTTTAGGATTTGTATTAAACTGAAACTATGTGTGTAACAATTATCAACTAAGGCTGATCTCTATATAAAATGATTACATGACTACTAAGACTGATCACAAATGATAATGATTACAGGATTACTAAGACTGATCTAAATTGATAATGATTACACGACTACTAAGACTGATCTAAATTGATAATGAGTACACGACTACTAAGACTGATCACAATTGATAATGATTACACGACTACTAAGACTGATCTAAATTGATAATGAGTACACGACTACTAAGACTGATCACAATTGATAATGATTACACGACTACTAAGACTGATCACAATTGATAATGATTACACGACTACTAAGACTGATCTAAATTGATAATGAGTACACGACTACTAAGACTGATCACAATTGATAATGATTACACGACTACTAAGACTGATCTAAATTGATAATGAGTACACGACTACTAAGACTGATCACAATTGATAATGATTACACGACTACTAAGACTGATCTAAATTGATAATGATTAAATGACTACTAAGACTGATCACAATTGATAATGATTACACGACTACTAAGACTGATCTAAATTGATAATGATAACAGGACTACTAAGACTGATCTAAATTGATAATGATTACATGACTACTAAGACTGATCACAATTGATAATGATTACACAACTACTAAGACTGATCTAAATTGATAATGATTACATGACTATAAAGACTGATCTAAATTGATAATGATTACAAGACTACTAAGACTGATCACAATTGATAATGATTACACGACTACTAAGACTGATCACAATTGATAATGATTACACGACTACTAAGACTGATCACAATTGATAATGATTACACGACTACTAATACTGATCTAAATTGATAATGATTACACGACTACTAAGACTGATCACAATTGATAATGATTACACGAGTGAAGAACTGCTCATGTAGTTAAACTCTTAACACAATTAACTCACCTCACTACTGATAACCTGACTTCACATACTGCACTTCTCATACTGAAGTCTCTAGGAACAGTTGTATGTGTGGCCCTCACCTGCTTAGCAGAGAAGATGTGTCCATGGTACTTGCTGACCACTGTGAACTCCTCCACGTCGCGGTCCTCGTACCAGGCGACAGGGGTCAGGAAGTCACGGGGGTTGGCAAGCCCATTAGCTCCTACACAAAGTAAGTATGGTAGTTCGTCAGCCCAGGGTGGTGGACAGAGGGGATTCATCACCTGGGTTGGTCAGCCCACAGTAGTGGACAGAGAGGATTCATCACCTGGGTTGGTCAGCCCACAGTAGTGGACAGAGGGGATTCATCACATGGGTTGGTCAGCCCACATAGTGGTGGACAGAGGGGATTCATCACATGGGTTGGTCAGCCTACAGTGATGGACACAGGGGATTCATCACCTGAGTTGGTCAGCCTAAATAGGTGGACAGAGGGGATTCATCAACTGGGTTGGTCAGCCCAAATAGGTGGACAGAGGGGATTCATCACCCAGGGTGGTCAGCCCACGGTGGTGGAGACAGGGGATTCATCACCTGAGTTGGTCAGCCCAAATAGTGGTGTCCAGAGGGGATTCATCACCTGAGTTGGTCAGCCCACAGGGGTAGACAGAGGGGATTCATCACCCAGGTTGGTCAGCCCAAATAGTGGTGTCCAGAGGGGATTCATCACCTGAGTTGGTCAGCCCACAGAGGTGGACAGAGGGGATTCATCACCCAGGTTCGTCAGCCCACGGTGGTGGACAGAGGGGATTCATCACCTGAGTTGGTCAGCCCACAGGGGTGGACAGAGGGGATTCATCACATGGTTTGGTCAGCCACATAGTGGTGGACAGAGGGGATTCATCACCTGGGTTGGTCAGCCCATAGTGGTGGACACAGGGGATTCATCACCTGAGTTGGTCAGCCCACAGGATTGGACAGTGGGGATTCATCACATGGTTTGGTCAGCCACATAGTGGTGTCCAGAGGGGATTCATCACCTGGGTTGGTCAGCTGATAGAGGTGGACAGAGGGGAATTGATCACCTGGGTTGGTCAGCCCATAGTGGCGGACAGAGGGGATTCATCACCTGGGTTGGTCAGCCCATAGTGGTGGACAGAGGGGATTCATCACATGGGTTGGTCAGCCCATAGTGGTGGACAGAGGGGATTCATCACCTGGGATGGTCAGCCCACGGTGGTGGACAGAGGGGATTCATCACCTGGGTTGGTCAGCCCATAGTGGTGGACAGAGGGGATTCATCACCTGGGTTGGTCAGCCGATAGTGGTGGACAGAGGGGGATTCATCACATGGGTTGGTCAGCCCATAGTGGTGGACAGAGGGGATTCATCACCTGGGATGGTCAGCCCACATAGGTGGACAGAGGGGAATTCATCACCTGGGTTGGTCAGCCCCACGGTGGTGGGCACAGGGGATTCATCACCTGGGTTGGTCAGCCACATAGTGGTGGACAGAGGGGGATTCATCACATGGGTTGGTCAGCCCACAGTGGTGGACAGAGGGGATTCATCACCTGGGTTGGTCAGCCCATAGTGGTGGACAGAGGGGATTCATCACCTGGGTTGGTCAGCCCACGGTGGTGGACAGAGGGGATTCATCACCTGGGTTGGTCAGCCACATAGTGGTGGACAGAGGGGATTCATCACCTGGGTTGGTCAGCCGATAGAGGTGGACAGAGGGGATTCATCACATGGGTTGGTCAGCCCACGGTGGTGGACAGAGGGGATTCATCACCTGGGTTGGTCAGCCACATAGTGGTGGACAGAGGGGATTCATCACCTGGGTTGGTCAGCCATATGGTGGTGGACAGAGGGGAATTCATCACCTGGGTTGGTCAGCCCACAGAGGTGGACAGAGGGGATTCATCACCTGTGATGGTCAGCCCACAGAGGTGGACAGAGGGGATTCATCACCTGGGTTGGTCAGCCCACAGTGGTGGACAGAGGGGATTCATCACCCAGGTTGGTCAGCCCACAGAGGTGGACAGAGGGGATTCATCACCTGGGATGGTCAGCCCACAGGTGGACAGATTGGATTCATCACATGGGATGGTCAACCCACAGAGGTGGACAGAGGGGATTCATCACCTGGGTTGGTCAGCCCACGTTGGTGGACAGAGGGGGATTCATCACCTGGGTTGGTCAGCCCATAGTGGTGGACAGAGGGGATTCATCACCTGGGTTGGTCAGCCGATTGTGGTGGACAGAGGGGGATTCATCACATGGGTTGGTCAGCCCATAGTGGTTGACAGAGGGGATTCATCACCTGGGATGGTCAGCCCACATAGGTGGACAGAGGGGAATTCATCACCTGGGTTGGTCAGCCCCACGGTGGTGGACATAGGGGATTCATCACCTGGGTTGGTCAGCCACATAGTGGTGGACAGAGGGGGATTCATCACATGGGTTGGTCAGCCCAAGGTGGTGGACAGAGGGGATTCATCACATGGGTTGGTCAGCCCACAGTGGTGGACAGAGGGGATTCATCACATGGGTTGGTCAGCCCACGGTGGTGGACAGAGGGGATTCATCACCTTGGTTGGTCAGCCACATAGTGGTGGATAGAGGGGAATTGATCACCTGGGTTGGTCAGCCCACAGAGGTGGACAGAGGGGATTCATCACCCGGGATGGTCAGCCCACAGAGGTGGACAGAGGGGATTCATCACCTGGGTTGGTCAGCCCACAGTGGTGGACAGAGGGGATTCATCACCTGGGATGGTCAGCCCACAGAGGTGGACAGAGGGGATTCATCACCTGGGTTGGTCAGCCCACAGTGGTGGACAGAGGGGATTCATCACATGGGTTGGTCAGCCCACAGAGGTGGACAGAGGGGATTCATCACATGGGATGGTCAGCCCTCAGAGGTGGACAGAGGGGATTCATCACCTGGGTTGGTCAGCCCACGGTGGTGGACAGAGGGGATTCATCACCTGGGTTGGTCAGCCCACAGTGGTGGACAGAGGGGATTCATCACCTGGGTTGGTCAGCCCATAGTGGTGGACAGAGGGGATTCATCACATGGGTTGGTCAGCCCACGGTGGTGGACAGAGGGGATTCATCACCTTGGTTGGTCAGCCACATAGTGGTGGACAGAGGGGAATTCATCACCTGGGTTGGTCAGCCCACAGAGGTGGACAGAGGGGATTCATCACATGGGTTGGTCAGCCCACAGTGGTGGACAGAGGGGATTCATCACCTGGGTTGGTCAGCCCATAGTGGTGGACAGAGGGGATTCATCACATGGGTTGGTCAGCCCACGGTGGTGGACAGAGGGGGATTCATCACCTGGGTTGGTCAGCCGATAGAGGTGGACAGAGGGGATTCATCACCTGGGTTGGTCAGCCCATAGTGGTGGACAGAGGGGAATTCATCACCTGGGTTGGTCAGCCCACAGAGGTGGACAGAGGGGATTCATCACCTGGGATGGTCAACCCACAGAGGTGGACAGAGGGGATTCATCACCTGGGTTGGTCAGCCCACAGTGGTGGACAGAGGGGATTCATCACCTGGGTTGGTCAGCCCACAGAGGTGGACAGAGGGGATTCATCACCTGGGATGGTCAGCCCACAGAGGTGGACAGAGGGGATTTATCACATGGGATGGTCAGCCCACAGAGGTGGACAGAGGGGATTTATCACCTGGGTTGGTCAGCCCACGGTGATGGACAGAGGGGATTTATCACCTGGGTTGGTCAGCCCATAGTGGTGGATAGAGGGGATTCATCACCCAGGTTGGTCAGCCCACAGAGGTGGTGAGAGGGTATTCATCACCTTACTATTTAGACAATCTAGGCAGGGCCAAATGTTGTGAAAATCAGTTCTATCATATTCACATATACAAATATGGGTATGGTTTTGAAGTTGCTAGAACTCAATGTCCATCAGAAGACAGCTATGTCCTGTTCATTTCATCACCACCCCTGTCAATGAAAATACTCTTATTACAACCTTTAGTATGTTCAGTACCCAGAAATTGGGCTATCAACTCACCAATCGGTCCTAAGTTTGGCAGCACAAAGTGGTCATCGAACACCTCCAACATGTAGCCTCGTGTGTCTCCTGTCACGGCCACGTTGAATCGAATACCTCGCTGTGGGCCAGAGCAAGTGGAAAGGACGGAAAGTAAGTTCAATAAGAAGAAAGTGCCATAAAGTACTCATGTGCAAACACTAATCATGCCAACTTGCACTTCCATGCATTGCACAAGTCATGTCAAGTAGAGGTCCAAAACAGAAGTTTCAAAACGGCTATTTCCAGTCAACATTACTAATCAATACAAGGCCAGGCCATTGGGTGGATCATCATATCAAATATGCAGCTTCATAGGCCTTGCAGATATTCAGATAAGATCTCACTAGAGTTAAGGGATAAAGCATCTTCAAAAATCATTTATTTAACTCAAATAACAAATAGTTCAAACAGGATAGATACATACATATATTTTGTTTGTTTGTTTCTTGTTTATTGTCACATTCAGCAATATTCCAGCTATATGACGGTGGTCTGTAAATAATCGAGTCTGGATGAGACAATCCAGTGACTGATATCATGAGCATCGATTCATGCAATTGGGATTCGATGCCATGCATCAACAAAGTCAGCAAGCCTGACCACCCTATCCCGTTAGTAACCTCTTACAATAAGCATAGCCACCTTTTACGATAAGCATGGGTTGCTGCAGAGCTATTCCAACCTGTATCTTCACAGGTAGCATACATATATATATATATACCTGTGTTGGCCACACTACATACAACATTTCACACAGATACTTTCTCAAACGACAATGAAATGGCCCAATAGGATTTACAATAAATGTGTCTGACCTGAATCACACAGATTTCATTGGGATCGACCTTCATACGTCCAAACTCTGTTGTTATGAACAAACCACCCTGTTGAGGAACTGCAAAATAAGAGTCACTAAATTTGTCAGTGGAACTGCATTCTTTAAATTATAACATATGAAGAAATATATAATCATGTCTTCATTGTTCGAATGAGTGAGTGAGTGAGTGTTTTACGCCGCTTTTAGCAATATTCAAGCAATATCACAGTGGGGGACACCAGAAATGGGCTTCACACATTGTACCCATTTCAGGAATGGAACCCGGGTCTTCGGCGTGACGAGCGAACGCTATAACCACTTGGCTACCCGACCGCCCCCTTAATTGTTCGATTTCAGTGTAGATACATACACTGGAATCCAGACTTGGGCTAATCTGTATACCTGTCACAACAGATCAAATTTACCGTACATAATTTACCATGTTCAAGTCTCAGACAGGTCACAGACAGTCCATAGACAGGTCCACACACAGTTCACACAGACGACACACAGGTCACATATGGTTCACACAGTTCACACAGGTTACAGATGTCACACACAGGTCACTTACGGTTCACACAGGTCACACAGACATCACACATGGCTCACACAGATGTCACACATGGTTCACAAAGACATCACACACTGTTTACACAGATCACACACAGGTCACACACGGTTCACACAGGTCACATGGTTCACACAGTTTACACAGACATGACACAGAGCTAACACAGTTTACACAGATGTCACACACAGGTCACACAGTTCCCACAGGTCACACACAGTTTACACAGACATCACACAGAGCTAACACAGTTTACACAGAAGACACACACAGGTCACACAGTTCCCACAGGTCACACACAGTTTACACAGACATCACACAGAGCTAACACAGTTTACACAGATGTCACACACAGGTCACACAGTTCCCACAGGTCACACACAGTTCACACAGACATCACACACAGGTCACACAGTTTACACAGATGTCACACACAGGTCACACAGTTCCCACAGGTCACACACAGTTTACACAGACATCACACAGAGCTAACACAGTTTACACAGATGTCACACACAGGTCACACGGTTCCCACAGGTCACACACAGTTTACACAGACATCACACAGAGCTAACACAGTTTACACTACACAGATATCACACACAGGTCACACAGGTCACACAGGTCACACACAGGTCACACAGACATCACACAGTTTACACAGACATCACACACAGGTCACACACAGTTTACACAGATGTCACACAGAGTTTACACAGGTCACACAGACATCACACAGAGCTAACACAGTTTACACAGATGTCACACACAGGTCACATGGTTCCCACAGGTCACACACAGTTTACACAGACATCACACAGAGCTAACACAGTTTACACAGATGTCACACACAGGTCACACACAGTTTACACAGATGTCACACACAGGTCACACACAGTTTACACAGACATCACACACAGGTCACACACAGTTTACACAGACATCACACAGAGCTAACACAGTTTACACAGACATCACACACAGTTTACACAGATGTCACACAGAGCTAACACAGGTCACACAGACATCACACAGAACTAACACAGTTTACACAGACATCACACAGAGCTAACACAGTTTACACAAATGTCACACACAGGTCACATGGTTCCCACAGGTCACACACAGTTTACACAGACATCACACAGAGCTAACACAGTTTACACAGACATCACACACAGGTCACACACAGTTTACACAGATGTCACACACAGGTCACACACAGTTTACACAGACGTCACACACAGGTCACACACAGTTTACACAGACATCACACACAGGTCACACAGTTTACACAGACATCACACACAGGTCACACAGACATCACACAGTTTACACAGATGTCACACGGTTCCCACAGGTCACACACGGTTTACACAGACATCACACACAGGTCACACACAGTTTACACAGACATCACACACAGGTCACACAGTTTACACAGATGTCACACACAGGTCACACGGTTCCCACAGGTCACACACGGTTTACACAGACATCACACACAGGTCACCCACGGTTTACACAGACATCACACACAGGTCACACACAGTTTACACAGACGTCACACACAGGTCACACACAGTTTACACAGACATCACACACAGGTCACACGGTTCCCACCATGGTTTACACAGACATCACACACTGGTCACACAGTTTACACAGATGTCACACACAGGTCACACACAGTTTACACAGACATCACACACAGTTCACAGTTTACAGAGATGTCACACACGGTTCACAGATGCCACACATGGTTCACAGTCATTACACACAGGTCACACACCATTCACACCTTTCACACACAGGTCAAGGGTTACAAACACTTTACAAACAGGCCTCACAAAACATGGGTCATACACTTTACCAACAACTTACTGACAGATGCAATCTCATTAAAATCAGATATTTAACTCTGATACACAGGTCACACACAGTTCACACAGACATCACACACAGGCCACACATGGCTCACACAGATGTCACTCACAGGTCAGACGGGGTTTCACAAACAGGTCTCACATGGTAAACACAGACATCACACAGACGTCACACACAATTCACACAGATCATACACAGTTCACACAGACATCACACACAGGTCAGGGTGAACACAGATGTCACTCAGGTCACACATGTCACTCACAGGTCAGACGTGGTTTCGCACACATGTCACACACGGGAAAGACAGACATCACACATGGTTCAAACAGACACCACACCCAGGTCACACAGGGCTCACACAGATGTCACAGGTCAGATGCGGTTTCACACACAGGTCACACATGGTAAACACAGACACCACACCCAGGTCACGCAGTTCACACACAGATGTCACATGGTTCATACAGATGTCACACACAGTTCACACAGACGTCACACACAGGTCACACAGACATCCCACACAGGTCACACGATTCACACATAGGTCACACACGGTTCACAAACCCACACTTTACCCACAACTTACTGTCAGATGCAACCAGATATTTTACTCTTATACACTACGTCTGTGTGAAGGTCTGAGGACACCACAAAAGATAAAATTTAACAAGAGATAATAGAATCGTTATTCCTACCTATGAGAAAATCTCCGTCCGAAGAGTAGAAACACCTGGAAAAAATAATATTAACTAAGTATGCCAGCCATTAAAACAGATGCAGCCTTGAAAGATGTGGGGGTGAAACTATTACCGAGAGAGGGAGAGAATAGTTTGTAATGGTTTGACCTTCTGTACAACAGTGTCAAGTACAGAGTAAAACAAAGGCATACCAGAGTGATCACATGATGACATATACCCCCTGCACCCAAATTCGAAAGAGCAAACTATCTGGTTGTTACATGAGAGTATTCCTATCTATTCCATCTGTCCGTATGCAACAGTAGTTACATAGCTGTCAAAACAATACCATGTAATTGGGATTCGGATAATCGGTTATTTATATATCCGGTCCTTTTTTGCAAAGGTATGAGTAAGTGGATATCACACAAGTGGTACATGGCTTATGCTGCAATCTGTTGCATTACAAACTGTGTTTATTAATAGTAACTGAAGCTCACCTTCCACATTAAACTTATGAAGTCTTATATTTGACCTTTATTGCATTCTTCTGTACTTTTTTTCAACTTTGTATTTTTTTACCAATGACCGCCCATACCCATGTCCAAAAGGATCTGAATGATGTCCTGTAATGGCTCCAAGTATGTTCCAAGAACCCGAGGAGGGGGGCTGATTATGACCCCTCGTTGACCTGGCCTCAGATGACAATGTGGCGTGTGACACAGGTTTAGGGTAAGGTTGAGCATGACGGAGGTGTTTAGCCTCAGGTTGATATGGCGTCCACCTGATGTACTGGATACCCGGGCGGGGAATACACATCTTTAGTGCCTGAACAGTGGCTTCGGCCTGAGCAGTGGAGAGATTTCCTCCTGAAACCTCCTGAACCTTGTTATTGAAGAGCTTCTCTGATGAAGAGGGTTGACATTATAAGAGACAGCGCCAACCAACCTCCTCAATATAGGCCAGGCAATACATAAGAAGTCTCTAAGAGATGAATGATTTCATCCAGAGATGAGAGCAATTCTGGACAAGGATAGTAATAAGTGACAATGGTAGGAGGGACAAACGAATGTCAGAAGCAACGGATATAAGGGATCAATCATCTACCTTGAGACGCGAGGATATGGAATGACTCAAAGTTTTAGCAACGTCAGCATCAAGCGGAGATGCCAAAGTCGGAAATGAAATCCCATGCAATTTTAAGCAGGACGATGTAATGGCAGGTTTGGGAAGCAAACCCTTGAGGGCTACTTTATCCAAAGCCTGCGGCAACAGCGCATGAATACTGTCGACTAAATGATGAACATGGACCGTGTAAGATGGCGTAGTATTCATGGGATCAAAGGAGCATTTTGCAGAAGGCAGTGGGACGGGTTTCTCTAGTTAAAGGACATCCATGATCCACAGGTTCTGATCCTTTGAGGTGTGGATCGGCTGCTCTTCAGCCTTAGAGGTAGCAACACTAGGCGCCGAAAAACAAGAGGAGGCCCTTGGTGAAGAACGCACACGCTTGGAAGCCCTGTCCAGAGACGACGAACGGGATCTGGAACGCCAAGGAGGGGGCCCAAAGCACAAGCAACCCGAGACGCCTGATCAGGAGTGACAGGTGACGACTGAAGTGGGAGGGTACCCCGGGGAGATGAGAATGGTAGTATCGAACTGCCGTCCATGTCAATATAAGCATCCTGAGGGGAGATCTGCAATGGCTGCACCTGAGAGGATGTGGGAATAGGCCGCGGCTGAGGAAGCAAGGACGGCACCTCAGGAGGCAATGGTGGCGTAGGAGCTTGTGCTTGCTGTGGGTAAAATGGGGTAGGCCAGGTGGAGGGCATCTGGAATGGCTGTGAATAAGCAGGGTGTCAACGCACTTTCGAAAATGTCCAAGGTCGTCGTCAACCCCGACATCATCTCAAAAATAATAATATTATCAATAAAATCTCAGAATCTACAAAAGAAAAAGAGAATATAATACGCAGCAGTGAGCGTTAAAACTAGGGAGGTAGAAAAACCGATGATAATGGAAACCAAAAGGAGCTTTCATGTGCCGAGAATTATGATAACAATGGCGGGGAAAGAAACGTGTGAGTAAGGTAAGTAGCCGTTATTTGATATATTTATTGATAAGGAATGGTTAGGGACCTGTAGATAAATGTACATAGGGAGATATACAACTGAAACCGAAGTGACAAACAAATCCAATCATAAATGTATAGTGGGGAGCAAAACACGTCCATTCACTACGGGCGATGAAGGAAAAAGTGATGTGGAGTACAGGAGCATGCTGGGAGCGAGGTGGTCTGAGGGTGTGTTCTGGTGAGGATTTTTTTTAGAATGTTTTACACAGTTACGATCGAAGCAAGAAGGAATATTGCATACTGTTGTGGAGGGATAAGTTGAAAAATATGCAAAATATTGCCTTTCAGATTATATTAAGTTTTTGTCAGTTTATATAACAATGATAGTGTACAAACCTTACTGCATACAAAACAAGGTAAAGTAATGCAAGAAAAAGGTACATCTTAACAGTACAATTTATTATCATTCGCAGTGATTCGTGTGACATCAGTCAGTGAAACAAGGCTACTGTTGAGAGGTGGAGGCATGATGCTCCATACAAGTACATGCTCATTTATCATGGGAAGATTACACAGCAATTAGCCAGCAACAGTAAGGCTATAGGTAGGATGTATATACAGCGATGCACAGGATCTCGTCTACTCTTGAAGAATGGGTGGCACGTAATGAGAGTCAGTCCTTACTTGTCTCCCATGGACATGTTGCAGACGTAGATGTAGATGGCCACTCCACTGCGGCACTTGGGATCCCCCGCACCACACACTGTGGACAACCCCTACACCAACAGCAAACAACAGCATCACTAAACAGAGCATCACAAACAACCAAATCACTAAATACAGCATCACAAACAACCAAATCACTAAATACAGCATCACCAACCACAGCGTCACTAAATATTGTATCACCAACAACAGCATCACTAAATACAGCATTACCAACAACCAAATGACAAACAAAAGAAGTCCTAGGGTTATTTGTTTTGCTTTATATGGACAAGGAATAAATGTATTTCTACATATAATCAACCATAATATTTCAACAATCTTGGTATATTTGTTTCTAACTGAGGAAAACTTTAAGGTTCATGTTTCTTACTTTGGGAAATAAAAAACAAGTCTTAGCCGAGAAATGCCCTTTGCAAGACAAATACTGATTAAGTAAGACTGGGTAGATGTTTCTTACATTAACAGACACTTGTGATGAACCCTCCATGAATCCAATGATAACATGGAAATAAACATTATTCTTTTACATTTCAACTTCATTCAGCAACTAACTGTAGTCTCAAGATGTCTTGTCATGTTCAAACAGTTCAAACAGTGAAAGTTGCCCTGACTTTCAGCAAAACTGAGTAACCTCTCAAGTTTGATGCAAACTGAAATCTTCTTTTTGTGTCAAAATATTTTTTAAAAAGTTCAATATACTTGGTCCAGGGGTTCTCCACATTGTAAGTATTGTGCATCATCATCATCATCTTACCATGGTCTTCAAGAAAACCAATTCTAATTTTCAATCTACCAAAATAGGAATGGACAAGACATTTTCTGACATGTAACTAAAGGAGAAAAGGTTAGAGTAAAGACTGTACTTTCTTGATACATGCACTTACAAAATTTGGAAGTCAGAGCTAAAGGTCAGCTGGACAGAGGCCGACAAATAACAGAAGAATATGAATGTCATAAGCTTGCTTTGAGGATGAAGCTGAAAAACATATCAATTACAATAATTGTGAAAATTACCTGCACAAAGTCCATTTTTTCTTGAGGGATGTCAAAAGGATGCCATCGTAACTGAAATATAATTTTGTCAATCAATAATCTGCTTTATCTCAGACAGAGACAGACAGACAGACAGACAGACACACTGCTGTTGCCCACTAAGACTGAGATGTGTTTATGACCTACAGTATATCACAGTAAGTGGCCCACTGACCTGGTTTGGGTTTGGTTCAACATTGTCCCAGTCGTGTGTCAAATTGCCTCGTTCTGTTTTCGAAAAGGGTTCATGCAACACTGATGGTCGAATGCGATACAGCCAACTGGAACAAAATCCTGCATTCATTTAGGATACATGCTGGTATGATTTGTATTGTACTGCACACCTGTTAGTGGGGTAATTCTGATGGAGTTGATGACATCATATTGACCAACTAAGTGTCACAGTTCACTTGAAAGTTGTTTGTCAGGCATATTCTACTGTCAGAAATCTCCATTTCAGCAGGATCTTCAAAAGTACATAATCTATACTACGAGTGAGTGAGTGAGTGAGTGAGTGAGTGAGGTTTAACGCTGCTTGTAGCAATATTACAGCGGGGGACACCAGAAATGGGCTTCACACAATGTACCCATGTCTAGAATTGAACCCGGGTCTTCGGCATGATGAGTGAAAGCTTTAACCACTAGGCTACCCGACCGCCCCTAATGTTCCAATGGCCATGATGGCTTCACAAACTTTGTAATCAACACAACTAGTTTGGGAGTGGACAGTCTGGTGGACAGCATTACCTGCGTTGGTTTCCCTCCCTGAGTGCAGTGAAGGCTGTTCCAGACAACTGTTCAGCATACAGGCCGTAGGCGCACTTCTGAGGGTTATTCTGTCACACAAGAGTTGTTTACTTTGTACAGGGTGTTACATGTATCAAAGAAGAGGGGATTCAACTTCAGTACATTAAGTAGAAATGTTTGACCATCTTCAATACTTGAATCCTGTTTGATATGACATTTATGTTTTTCATAAAACCATTGCTGAGAGTATCCATGCAAAGTTATGCTTCCATTAGCCTAGTGCTTTCAGAGGAGATTTAGAAAATGTCATGCAACTATTATTTGATAACAGTAGGGCTGGGATGTGTAACTTGGGTACTCGGGTCAGGTGGGTATTGAGCAGGACCCGGGTACCCACAGGACTACCAAGACCCGTGGTTAGACACATGATATACTGTTTCATGACAAAAATTCACTGTAACTACATGGGTATACAACAACTTTAAGTCTCTAATGTTCGCTTTTCTTCATGACTATGAACACATTCCTTCTGACCTACATATGTTTGAACAAAGATTAAACTTCAGTCAACTTCAGTGTATGCATGATCACATCGTTTTATACGTGTATCTGAATACATTTTGCCAGGGCTACTGTCAAACTATTCCCAATCGGACAATTTGTAGCTATCTCTTTACATCAACATCGGGTACCCGGGTAGGGTCGGGTAATAGGGGTGTGGGTACCCGGGTAGTAAATTTGGACTCGTCCCAGCTCTAGACAACAGACAACAAAAACGACAATCAAATAACCAAATATTTCAGAACTGTTTTAATTTTGAAGAGTTCATGATATTATGGGGGTTTAGATGAGTAACATGTAGCTGGGACGTGTACAGTGTATTTTAAACAGCAGCTTTGATCGTTCATCTACAGTTGTAAGATAATGCAGTATCATTACTGTTGGAAAGTCACATCATTGTTCATTTACCAGTACTTATAGTGAATCTTGTCATCTTGTTGTTCCATGTAACAGAACAGTTGATGTGTACTGGTTGTACTACTCATTTCCCGGTACTGACCGTACCTAGCGACCACCACGGGACACCACTCAACATGCCCACGACACAGACAGGTAAGTCACCACAGGTCAAAGGTTGCATATATGCCTTCATGTAATCACTTAATTTATAGAATGTGGGTGGATTTGTCAAAAGAACAGGCTGTGTAATCATTGAGTGGTCATCATTTAACATGTTTGACACAGTGGGTTTTATGTATTGCTCTACTACCTCATTCTGATAGGTCAGATTGTCAACTGGTACCTTGTCACAGCAGGTTCCAGTGTACTACAGTGTACTACAGTGTACTACAGGCAGGACACAGTAACCACAGTCTGCCAGTGTGTTGGTAGTGGCCATGCTGTATAGTTACCTCCAGGAATGGCTGGCTATCAGCCTACACTGGTGTGTCCTGCCCAGCATCCATTGTTGACAGGCAAATGTCATGGAGCTAGGATCCTGCTGACAGGTATGAAAAACATGCAGTGTGCTGCTTGCATATCACAGTATCATGTTCCCTAAACCTTGTCATTTCTATCATAAATATCTGTGTCACACTTAACGCACCAGGGATTCTGTTGTCAGGGATTTCAAAAATTGTTTATGCATTATATTAAGGGTGAAACGATACACCGATATTCCGATGCATCGCGATACTTGACCCACGGTACGATATACGATTAACGTGGGCCCATTTATCGATACGCCACGATACGGAATGCAAATCTCAAGTACAGCTTTTCCTCGCTATTGTGCCTTTCAATAAACCGCTAACTTGGTTTTAGCGCGCGGTAAGGCATGGCTCCCAAAAACGTACTTACATTTTCAATAAGCTCAGGTTTTACACTGACAGATATTTTTCCCCATCTCAAATAACATTATCAGCTGATCACCGCAAGCACATAACATCGGAAATACCAGTCAGCAAAACCGAACTGAAGTGCCATCATTATACTATCTTCTCATTAAAACGTGTTCATTCTATATCTGGTCATGTGTTTGTAATATATTTTATTAATTTTATTCAAACTTTCATTTAATATTGTTTTCATTAAGTTAGGTGAAATCGTGTGTGAAGAGATACAGCAACCACGCTCAGATTACCGCTTTTGACGCATTGAAACGAACTTTAGTTGCTAGAGAATGGATACATATATTAAAAATGACATACTTTGACTCGTTAAAAGTCATATTTGTGGCAATTTGGCTAATATATTTCAACATAACATTTATGCATTCAAAATACCTGTCGCGGGGAAGACCCTACGGTGACTGGTCAAATTGTTCCATACGTAAAAATATCCTGCAACAGCAATCACCAGTACCAAAATGCTACGCTTGTGGTTTTTATAATTTTAAATACATATAGAGTAAAAGCTGGAATATATTATTCTTGATAAAACAATAATTTCAGATACAATTTCTTCGACCATTGCATACAAATTCTTTGAAGTTGTATAACTGGTGAAGTACATTAATTATTTTCTGGTGTTTGAACTTTGAATTGCTTTGAAGGAAAGTTAGAGAAAGTTCCACTTTGAAGCTTAACAACTTCAGCTGTCTTGTTATTATAAAATAATGTTGACTGTTCCAAAATCATGAAAGGTTCAATCTTGACATGCTTTAAGTCTTGTTTTTGTATCATTGCATATCGAGATACGTATCGTATCGTGACCAGAATATCGAGATGCGTATCGTATCGTGATCTTCCTGTATCGTTGCAGCCCTACATTATATATAAGATAGCTATGCCATAAATCGCAAAGAACAATGAAGAGCGAAGTGTGGTTTATTTCACGATAATACATTGTTTTATCATGACGTCATTTCTGGAAATTCAAATATGCGTGCGAAATTTGATGACGTCATATATTGGACAACGCTATTTTTTAGAGCATAGTGTCTATTGAGACGTTCTCCACTGATGTTACGGGGGAACTCAGATAAACACAGTGGCTGAACGCATTCAAAAGTGGGAGAGACATGACGATTGATACCAGCAGAAAAGGTACAGATAATCTATGTGAGGATTGTGAGAATATGTGGGAAAATACCAAACTTAACCCACCTATTCATTAAATAGACTTGTCCGACATTTAGATTCTAGTCAGGGAGTCATCATTATTGAAATTAAGGTAACTATATCTAAAGCTTGTACATTTCATCAACATCCTTAAAGAGGCTGTACATTATGTTCTCATATAAGAAAAAAAAGACTTGTGGTCATTGTTTATCGTACAAAAAAACACAGTACCCCTCATGGTTTATTATATATTCAGTGTTTTATTGTACAATAAACAACTCCTAATCCTCGTTTATTTGTAAAATATATTGGTGTTTTTCAACAGGGATGGAAATGCATTTTTTTTCAAGCTCACCACAGGGCACTCAAAATGATTTTCACATGTGTCCTTTGGAAGTAAAGTGTGCTAACAAGAATACTTTGGATAAAAAACAAATGAGGTTATCTGCATAACAGTGATATTAACACATCACCTTCAGTAAAATATTAAATCCCTCTAAGTCACACACAAGTTTAGATTCATAGTTTTGGAGTTGTGAATTTTCTCAGTCTTTTCAAATTACATAAATCACTGTCATGAACAGTTGCCAATTTGGAACCACTAGGCCCCTCAATATCAACATTGTCTCCCATATATTGATTTGCAAAGAAATTCCCTTTGTTAGGTAATGGAGCAAAACAAGGTACAATAGTTGTCTTTACGGAAATACCACTGTTTACCTTTTTGCCGCCTATAAAACGAAAGCCTATAATGTTTTCCTATTTGGTGTTTTTCATATAATTCATAAACAGTGTTGCCATAGGGTATAATTTAATTTAAAAACTTTGCTTTAAAGTGTTGTGCCATTATGATTCTGACCATATCTTTGTCAACTCAATACAATGAATTTCAAACCTGAATGAGAATTATTAGAAATATCTGATGGCTGTCTATGAAGGTCACATCTCAGTCAGTTTACGGCTACATAAAGGCATAATATAAGGAAATGTTATAGTTTCTTTGGACTCTAAGCCAGTCAAAGATTACACACCAGATCCTTGTTAAATAACCTAGACTTGGTAGGTATCTCTTTCCCAGTGACTTTATGGTGTATTAAAGCATGTCAGGTACTGGGTCTGTGGCCCATGTGCAATGAAAGAATATTATGTAACAAGTTGTGATTAAGTTACTCTCTCGATGAAACTAATTTAGGAAAGAAAATGATGGAAATTATAATAAATGTTAAACTTACTTAGAAACTTGTCACTTGAAGTCACATTACTGTTTTGATGATATATTGTCATCAATTTGTGATGAAATTTTGATGACTTGACATAATATTGCTCAATGCAGTAGTATGATGTCCGATGTCATATCATTTAAACTGACCATCTTTGAGCATGTTGAGTGAGTGAGTGAATTAGTTTTAATGCTGCTGTGAACAGTATTCCAGTTATATCACTGCATGTTAGCTTACTGTGAAACCACTCTGGTCAAACCCACGAGCTCAGGTATGGTGCAGACAAACCTAAATTCTTAATTGGGTTGAACAGGGACTCGAACCCCAGAGACACAACTCTGAACAGCAAATTTCGGGGCCTTAGACGACTTGTGGCCCCCACGAGCATGTTGAGCACTGCTAAAATGCACATGTACAAATACTGTATATTACATTTAATCTTAAATTCAACAATGTCAGAAAGAGGAGACAGGAGAGCTAAATATATAAGGTTGGAATTTTGTTATTTTTTTGGTTTACAGATGTTTTTGTGACAAATCCTAGTCGGTAGGTTGGAAAATGTTTTTAAACAAGTGGTGAATACATGGCATATAAAAGTTTGCAATCGGCAGAAAAAAAAAACAGTTCTTTTTCAACTTTTCTGTATTTTAGGGTCCGTGGCATCCATTAGGCAATTTGTTTTTAAAGTCCTGCCTAATAGTAACAGTGTTATTTCTGTGTGTATTCGTGTCTGATGTGCACCAATACAGTACCTGTCCTTCAGGCAGCGCTCCAGGGCAACGGGGATCCTCTGTGGCAAACTCATTGCCAAACCCAGACATGTACTGAAAATAACAGAATATATTCAATTCTGACAAGAAATCTCCAAAGATACCATCATCAAATCTTACCTGAACATAAGGCAACATATGGCTATGTGGTTCATCTGATCTCAGGAGAACACTTTAGTTGCTGTGTCTGGATCCAGAAGATCATATTTTGTGGACATGTCTGTGAAATAAGTCCTCAACATTCATTGTTAAAGTGGAGGTGGTTATGGGCGGCCATTCGGTCAAAAATACAAAACAAACAGACGCCGGTTAAAAAATACAAAGTTGAAATAAAGGTCAAAAGTATGCAATATAATTGCCAAATGTTACAAAAAGACGTCATATGAAAACAAAGAACAGTGTGTAATAAAGAATGTCAGTGTGCACGAAAGGACACTAAACTGCTGAAGGACGTTGACAATAAAGAACGCCAGATGGTGCTGCAATTTGTAAAACATTCCGGTTTTAATCGGCTTGTTTTGCTGTGTGTATAACTGCATGCATGCCGATGTGCACAAGTATTATGTCATTACAGCCGAGTTTTGTTTCAGACACACATTTTCATAACATCTGAAAAGTGAACGGTGCGAAATTTGTTTTATTAAACAGCTTTTCGAAAACGGGGTGCGAACAAAATGCTGCCTAATATCTCAACAACAAAAATATGTATCAAATGGATTTGTATGAATATGCATTACGAAATACAATCGTTAGGAAAAAATAGCTTCCCATAAATGAAGAAAATCGTTTTTTCTCTATGGCATCAGCATTTGAATTCACACCTGATTTATTTCGCTGGTTACATCTAGACCATTGATATTTGTGACAAAGACAAGTTGTAAGTTGATGCTAAAATGTATGCATAATTCAAAGATGTATGTATCACAGCTGTGTGTGAAATACATGTGATGTAATATGTGTCTCATAACTGGCATACGCGAATCGTGATTTTGTAAACACTATCCAATATGTCGGAAAGTTCGCTTCGGTGTTCGTGTTTGCTTATTTTCTAAAACATTTTAAATGATTCTAGGGTTATCGAGGAAGTTTAGGATTATATTTATTGATTTGATAAACCACACATATACATGATCACTAATGTGCTGTTTTTTGTTATTGAATTTTCCGAGTATATATCAGACATTTAGATATAAAAACGTTCTCGAAATAACGCTGTGAATCGTGATTTAGTAACATATCATAAGTAGCATAATTTTCAGATGTAATTTTCAGGAATTTAACTTTGCCTAAAAATGGCTGCGTGTGATATCAGAAAAATTTGAATTTCCCACAGAATTCAAATCTTTGAAGTCTATGTGGGAGTGTGTGATGTATTTTGAGATGTATTCAACTTCAAAGTAAGTGTACAACTAGTCTTTGTCACAAATATAAATGGTCTAGATGTAAAAAAGCGAAATAAATCAGGTGTGAAAACGAATGCTGATGCCATAGAGGAAAATTTATTTTCTTCATTTATGGGAAGCTATTTTTCCTAACGAATGTATATAATGTTATACATATACATACAAATCCATTTGATATGTATTTTTGTCATTCAGATATTTGGCAGCATTAGGTTTCAACGTGCGTCTGAAACAAAACCCGGCATCATAGCACCCTTGTGTTGCACCAAGCATGAACAGTTAATTGGATCATTGTAGATTAATCCTAATTTAGTTCATTAAAGGTTGTATACTAAATACATGTACTAATTTTAGGCAGATGTCGGATTACACAGTATACTGTATCTATGAAAAGGCCCTTTCTCCGTAAACGCAACATGTTTATACACAATGTGTACATGATACATTATACATGTCTCATGGTGAGTGCACGAGGAATGCAGTTATCATATGCATGGAGGAACAAGCCGATTAAACTCAGAATGTTTTACAAATTGCAGCGCCAATCTGGCATTCTTTATTTTAAACATCCTTACATGCTCACTGACGTCTTTTCGTACACATTGTTCTTTCTTTTCTTATGATGTCTTTTCGTAACATTTGACTATTAATATTGCGTACTTTTAACCTTCATTTCAACCTTGTATTTGTTTAACCGATGTCTGTTTGTTTTGTATGTTGACCTTTAATAGAAACATTTAATGCTTTATTAGTAAAATTTGACTTTATTTCAGCTTCGTATTTTTTTTACAGGGATCAGTTTGTTTTATATTTTGACCTTTATTAGTAACAATTAGTTCTTTATTCGTAATATTTGACCTTTATTGCATACTTTTGTCCTTTGTATTTTTTTACCGAATGACCGCCATAGGTGGTTTTCTCTTTAAATTTATCTTTAACATAGTTCTAAGATGTACAGTATTGTGTTTTCACGGAACTTTCAAAGACACATTTTCCCCAACAACCACATCAACACACTAGCATATAAGTACAAAATTAAGTTGCAAGTTTGCTGTCTAATGAAAATCAAATAATTTCCCAAGAATTTTTTTTTTTTTTCAAATCATTTTTATTCCAGTTTCAGTGGTTACATACACAGTGATATGTACATATATAGCATTATTAACATTTTGACACCGCATATTTGGAGGATAGGCCTTGATCATGAAGGATCGAGCAAGATGTTCTGGCATGAAAGTAGTAAACACCATATTTATGAACAATCGTAGAAAAATAAGCTAATAATAAAGGAATAAACAGTACCGAATTATAGTATTGTAATCCTTATCTTGGAAAAACATTACAGTCTTTCTTTGGCAATAGAGTCAAAGTGATTGGAAACAATCAATAATAACACACAGTCAGCAATCTATGTAAGATTCAAGGCATCATGTAAACCACAATACAATATCCACTTTTTGTTATAAGTGCTAAGCTTATTATTAGTTTTTGCTGACAGATATTCCAAATAAATAGCATCTTTTAATACTTGTTTAAAAACGTCCAATGAGGGTTTCCTTTTCTTTAAACTAGAAATAAAAATGTGTCTCTTAGCTAAAATAATAATATGATTATTTGCAGGTTTTGCACTTATTTCATCAAAACATACATTAAATCTTGTAAAAAGTATATGATTATTTCCCACAGAATTAAGGAAAGCCTCCAAGTTTTGCCAGAATTCGAACACATATTCACAGTCATAAAATAAATGCATCAAGTTTTCTTTCTCTATCTTGCAAAATTCACATAAATCATCATCGACAAGTTTCATTTTATAAAGTGTTTTTTTGTATATATCATTCTATGCAGAAATCTAAATTGGAAATCTATCGATTTTACATCCCTTATGTCTTTTCTAAAAGAGACAAAAAAAATTGCCCATTCTAAGCATTCACCAAATTCTATTTCCCATTTCTTACATATTTTAGGTTGTGAGTCAGAAAAAATAAGTTTATCATAAAAGAGTCTTGAACCTTTTTTACAAATCAATAAGTCCTGATAACAAGGAAGAATATACATGTCAAAGTATAAATCTACATCAAAATGTTTTTTAATTGCTGTTTTCCATGCTTGGGGAATAATTGAAATAAGCTGAACATAATGCAAAAAGGTCCCTTTAATATTGTATCTTTCTTTTAGAATTTCAAATGGAATAAATCTATTTCCCTGACAAATATGTTTTAGGGACCAAATACCCTTAATATACCAATCTTTTATGAAAAACTTTGGGGAATTTAAGTAGTGGTTTAACCATAATGGTTGATTCATAATGTTTTCAATAAGAGAAAGGTCTAATTCATATTTTCCAAAATATTCACACCAAGCTTTAATAACATCGTTCCAATAAGGGTTAGAAACTTTTGTGTAAATAAAATCATTTGAACCTAATCTTAGTAAATCTTTTACTGGAATGTCATATTGCTGACATTTCTGATGTTTAATACATTTACTTAAAAAGGAGATTTTTAGAGATTTCACAAAAGTTTTAATATTGGGCATTCTTAGTCCCCCATTTTTATATTCTCTCTTAATATTTTCTCTTTTTATTTTATCTGTTTTTCCGTTCCAAAGAAAATAAAAAAATATTTATCTAATTTCTTAATAAAAGCATCGGCCGGATTTGGGAATGCCGTGAATATGTGAACTAGCTGTGGTGAAGCAAATGTTTTAATAACTGTAATTTTCCCAATAAATGTTAAATGCCTTTTTCTCCAGTTTGCTAAAAGTTTAGTGATATTTTCTAATCTTTTACGAGTATTGATTACCCATAAATCCTTTAATTCCGGGTTAAGAATAATAACTAGAACTTCAAAGTCTCCAATGTGCCACTCCAAGTTGAGCTGATCACATATTTTTAATCTGCTCCCAGCAAGGGCGCCTATCCATATAGCCTTTGTTTTATCCATATTTATTTTTAGCCCTGACATTTGGTAGAAATCATTAAGTGTTTTAATTGCAGCATTAAGACATTCTGGAGTACCATCTAAGAATAATTCAGTGTTGTCTGCATATTGACCAAGTTTATGTTCTTTTCCATGCATCTCTATACCTCTAATGTTTGTATTCTCTCTAATAAGTATGCTTAGAATTTCAGCTGCTAGAATAAAAAGATATGGGGAAATGGGATCACCTTGTCTACATCCTCTTTCATTTTCAAAGAAAGAAGAAAGATGGCCATTTTGTATGACACAGGACGAACTATGGTTTATAAGCATATTTACCCAATCAACAATATAGGATCCAAAACCAAATTTTTAAAGTACGTCTATTATGAATGATTTGGAAATTGTATCAAAGGCTTTCTCAAAATCTATAAGAAGAAGAAGCCCTGTTTTATTTTGCTCTTTTAGATGAAATATGATATCATATAATAATCTTATATTTTCTGCTATGCATCTTCCTGGTATAAAGCCAGTTTGATTTTCATCAATTAGGGCAGGGAGAGTTTTCTTTATTCTATTTGCAATACATGCACTCATTATTTTGTATAATACATTAAGGAGAGTTATAGGTCGCCAGTTTTTAAGTAAAGTTCTATCCTTTTTACCTTTGGGAATACAGGTGATGATACCGCTGTTAACTGTTATTGTTAATTTCTTATAACTAAAAGATTAATTAATGTATCTGAAGATCCAAGGGCCTAATTCCTTCCAATTTTTAAAAAAAAATTCTATGCTGAAACCATCAAGACCTGGACTCTTGTTATTTTCATATCCATGACAACTCTATTAATTTCTTCTTGAGTGATTTCTTGTTCTATACTATCTCTTAAATTCAAGTTAAGTTTAGGAGTTTTGATATCTTTTAAAAAACTATCAAGGTTATCGTTTTCAAAATTTGGATTAGTATATAATTTTTGATAGAAATGTTTTTGTTGCTCTAGTATCTGGTTTCCATCTGTAATCGTATTACCTGAATCATCTACTAGTTTATGTATCAGCTTATTTGTAAAATTTCTTTTCTCTAAATGGCAAAAATAACTGGTTGGTTTCTCTCCTTCATCATACCATCTTAATCTGCTTCTAATTTCTTGAGCTCTTACTTCTTCCTCTTTTAATTGTTATAATTCTAATTTAAGCTTGGAAAGTTGGGCGAATTTATTTTCATTTACATGTTGAAAATCATTTCTTATTTGATCTTCTACCTCGTTTATATCTTTTTCAAGTGATTGTATTTTATTTTATTTTTTCTCTTCAAATAAGTTGATATTGAAATTGAATTCCCTCTAACTTTCATCAAAAAGGTTTCGAATACAATTGTTGCTGGGTATTTTAATTTTAAAAGCTCCACTGGAACATTATCCTGATCATTACAGGCATATTCAAGTTTAACTTCTTCAAGTGTTTTTTTAACCATATCACAAAATTCCTTATTATATAACAAAGAGGAATTGAATTTCCAGTAACCTTCCCTTTTTCTTTGTTAACAGATGTGGATAAGGTTAAAGAGATGGCTGAGTGATCCGATTTGTAGCCTGCTGATATATTTGCATCTAGTGTAATATTACTTACATTTTCTGATATTAAAAAGAAGTCTAGTCTACCTTGTTGTCGAGGGTTCTTTTTCCACCAGGTATATTTATTAAAAGTAGGGTTCAGTTCTCTCCAAATATCCTGAAGATTATATCTATGTTTGGATCTATTATCAAATTCCAATCACCACATATAACCCAAGAGTCATTTTCAAATTCTAGCATATCTGTAAATAATTGTTTATAAAAATTTGGATCAATATTTATTAGGGCCATAAATATTAGCAATTACCATATCAATTCCATCAATATTTAGTGAAACAATTATGAAATTTTCATTTTTATCCTTTTTATATGAATGTATATCGATTTCACAGTTATTGTTAAAAAGAATGGCTACCCCTCTAGCATTAGATCTTAAAGGAGCGATAATACTTTGCAGGCCCCATTCATTTCTCACAATTGTTTCGTTCTCCTCAGAGAGGGGCGGTCGGGTAGCCTAGTGGTTAAAGCGTTCGCTCGTCACGCCGAAGACCCGGGTTCGATTCCTGATGTGGGTACAATGTGTGAAGCCCATTTCTGGTGTCCCCCGCCGTGATATTGCTGGAATATTGCTAAAAGCGGCGTAAAATCAAACTCACTCACTCACTCTCCTCAGAGATATGAATATCTTAAAGGCATATTATGTCAAATTTATTTTTTCGATAAATATTCAATACTTCTTTGCGTTCATTTTTATTTGATAGCCCTCTACAGTTAGCAGATATTATTCTAATTTTACTAGTCATTGTCAAATTTTAAAAGTATGATTGTCAATATACATGTACACATAACCACTCTAGGAAATTGCAAGCCACTGAAACCGTTTTTTAGTTTTTAAAAAAAACATAAATTGAGAAAAACATAAAAACAAACACATGTACCTCCTTTCATCAGTCTTGTCCACCTATTGGATCTGATACCTTAAATCCACCTATGAATATCTGGATATTTAAATCATAAGGGAAAGGCCAAATCAAATTTACTGAGGCCTGGCAAATATAGTTATTATGAATTAGCATATATCTTCCTGCTAATCATGCTAATTATTAGGTGAGATCAACCTTAACTAACCTATTGTATAATAAATCATTAAATTATAAGATCTAACTAAAGCTTGATATGCTAGAATCAGCAGATATCACTACATATATTAGATCTAGATAATGAAGATCAAAATACAATACCTCACTACAAAAAGGGGAGAATTGGATAAGCCATGCAAAACATATAGTATGTTTACGTCAGTGAGATCCACGTGACCATTTGATCTGTCCATTAGCATATGCTAATTACAGTTCATTGAGTAACCAATCACATTTCGCCTAAGAGCCATACCCCCAGTACATGTGAGCAGGAGCGCGGTGCATAATTTTGCACCGTTATCCTTCAGAACATAGAGAGTACAGACATTAAAACAATTCGCAGTAATATAACTGTCAATGCATGTTAATCCACTATAGATAATAGAAATAAGCGTAGCACAATCTGTCATGTGCTTGATTTCTAATTCGATAAAAGGAGAGGTCAAGGTCAAAGCATGAACAGCAAATTTCATAGCCTATATTGGCATTTGCATTGGCATGTTTTCAACATCACAAGATAAAATCAAGTCTAAATGCTTAGATCAACATTAGAGCATGCATAGTTCAAGCTGAGAAGACATGTCAGAATCAGGAGACGAAATAAGAGCTGAAATACAATGTCATCAAACCTTTAACTCAGAGTCGGACGCCATTTTGCATCAATGATGATGTCAGAAAAACACGAAGTCCTAATTTATCTTACGAAATATTGTAAAAATATTGATCAGTTATCTACGAATCATAGGAATATTGTTCTTAACATATTTGAAAATAATATTCTCAGAAAGATATTTTGACATATCATGATGACCTCCACGCAAGGGGACGTTACTTGTAGTGCACGATTCTACAAAATAGCATTCTGTGAGAAGATTGAAAATATTTTATCTGGAAAATACAATTTATCCTGTCGGGGCGAGCTCAATTTTTCTGAATACCATACAGGTGTCGTTGGTGTGGTTTGCAATGACTGGATATACCTTCGTTGACCCTGCCTTCGATTGTCTTAATTGTGATACATTCCAGAAGGTAAGTCCAAGTTTAGAAGATGTCAACTATTTCCGGTGATAGATAATTCGGATGAATTGCTTCTGCAACCCCAAATAAATATGATATTGTTTTCATCATGTATGTTGGCTGATTCATTATTTTGCATAACACTTTATTTGTAACGATCTACAAAATATAATGTCTTACAAGGCAGCTTAGTCAACATGTAGTTTATTTCACACCTGTTCTGCGAGACAATGTCAATATTTCTGTGTATGGACTGCTCTTAATTGTCATGGTTTTGTGACATGAGTGTTATTTGACGTATACAAGGTTTCAGCTGCAATGGAGTTAAACATCAATTATAAAAGTGTGTTACATTTATCTGAAATAAACGTTATGAGAGACCAATGTTCCAAGATTGGTGTCCATTTCAAGTACATTAGGCTCTAGCTCTGCATGTCCTATTGGCAGCAAGAACAAATAATATTTGGCAGTCTCTGTCCAAGTGCTATGTTTTGCGGGTATAAGTATAGCTTTTATACTTTACTATTGTTTCAAATGGCATATGATATCTACCTATTATTAAATTGTGCCTGTGTAATATCTGCGTTATTATAAATGTTGGCACACATGGCATACGTTCCATGCAGTCAACTATATCCAAGAAATGCTGAACCCGCAACATTGGAAATTAACAAGTCTACTTGCTTCATATTAGTTAAAACCTGGATCTAACAGAAGACAGTAACTTTGGAGCTGATATTTTTCAGTTCATGTATTCACTTTTTGATGATTCAGCTCTTATTGCATTGACTGAATACATGTCATTGGCATGATCACAAAACTCACTTCACTAGACTCGAGTGCAAAATAACAAAGTAAGGGCTAGGTCATGTTCATTAGGGCTATTAACATGATTTACAGATTAAATGTTTCTCACTAGCAATGCTAATAAACCATTCATGTACACGTTAAGATTCTGTAATGTTTACTTAAAGGGGAAGTGTACACGCAAAAATCAATTTATTTCTTTTTCTAAACAAAACTCAATTTTAGAATTAATTTGTATCTGTGTTTGAAAATATACACTCATTTTTTTCACAGTGAAAGTAGGAAGCTCACAATAGTGTGAAAATGATATGCCGTTATGAGGCCTTCGTTTTTCGAGCTAAACAGGCCTGAGTTATCCCCCTTAGATTATGACGTAATTGGTGCCAATTCAACTGGGTCCCTGTCTATTCTCAACGCAAAAGATATCAAGTACCAGTTTGCGGTAAAACAACATGGCCTACGACACACTCCGGCGCAGTGGTGACTCAGCATAACACTATGCTGGCTGGCATCTGAGACGCTAGAATCACACACCTAGACCCACACCACGTGAAGCGGCTCTAACAAAGCATGATGACGTCATAATGTTTATCAATTGGCACCAATGACGTCATATTGCAAGGGGCATAAGCCATGGTGTTTTTGTTGTGGAAATAGAACACTTGGTAAATGTGAAAAATGTAAATCGTTTTAATGCGAAAAATATGTTAATTAATTGTGATATTTTTATATTTTTGTCTATGACACTTCTAGGTTAACACTTTTAATGTGGAAAAGTACAAGAAAAATAGGTTAATTTCCGTGTGAACTTGCCCTTTAATACTTTAAATATTTTAAACATTTAGACTGAATGAACCATTCATGTAGACGTCAAGATTCTGTAATGTTGAATCTTAAATACTTTAAATATTTAAAATGAACCATTCATGTAGACATTAAGATTCTGTAATGTTCATACTTAAATACTTTAAATATTTTAAATATTTAGACTGAATGAACCATTCATGTAGACGTTAAGATTCTGTAATTTTTATACTTAAATACTTTAAATATTTTAAATTTACAGAATTTAGTGCTCTTATCATGCAAACCTAGTCAGTTGTAATTGCACACATGGCAATCAAATACCTTATTCTAATGTATACTGAAATTAGCAAACTCTGTAAGATTTTCCTACCTACATCACCTTAGAGGACCTGTAGCATGGTAGTTTCTGTCATGTCTATAGTTAGATTTTCCTGTTTTATTATAGATAAACATGCCGTACAAACTATTCTAAAGTCATCCATCTGTTCACCAATAGAAGGAAACATTATTAACTATGCTCACAAATTGAAAAATAAAGAACTAGACAAGGTTTGTTTTTATTAACAAATATATCTCCTCTATTATGATTGACATTTACCGAATCTAGTATAGTTGCTGGTAAACATACCAAATCACTTGCAAACAGGGACCAACATGTTATGGAGCAAAATATCTTGAAAATAAGACTGAAAATTATGTTTTATATTTCATATTCCCAGACAGGATAGAGAATATTACCTTTGACTGTCGCATGGTCATGTCATGGTATTTTGATCCCCCGCCACGAAGTTGAAGGGGGATATAGGAATAGGTGCCATCCGTCCGTCACATTTCATTTCCGGAGCAGATCTTGAAAACCGTACCATATTTCTTCACCAAACTTGGCACATAGATAGATTAAGGGGTGAACTGGTGCCTTTTGATAGTTTGGGATTTAAAAAAAGTATTTTTTGAGTTTCCATGGCAACGACTTTGATTTAGACTGAAAATGGCGGTAGTTCTCGTTTCCGGAAAAGATCTTGAAAACCGTACCATATTTCTCTACCAAACTTGGCACATAGATAGATTAAGGGGTGAACTGGTGCCTTTTGATAGTTTGGGATTTAAAAAAAAAGTATTTTTCGAGTTTCCATGGCAACGACTTTGATTTAGACTGAAAATGGCGGTAGTTCTCGTTTCCGGAGCAGATCTTGAAAACCGTAACATATTTCTTCACCAAACTTGGCACATAGATGGGTCTAGTGGTGAACTGGTGCCTTTTGATAGTTTGGGATATTTAAAAAAAATTTTTTTCGAGTTTCCATGGCAACGACTATGATTTAGACTGAAAATGGCAGTGGTCCTCGTTTCCGGAGTAGATCTTGAAAACCGTACCATATTTCTTCACCAAACTTGGCACATAATATAATCTCGCAGTATTGAATACAAAAAAAGGCCCAGTAAACATAGTTCACAGGAGCTAATGCATTGCGCACAACCGGACATGTCATATTGGCGGGGGATATGAGTATTCCATGCTTCTTGTTTGTAGTTTCTAGGAACATGTAAGAAGTAGTTATGGATCATGTTAGTTTGTCTCATTTTGTGTTTCAGGTAGGATGACGTAGTCGTATGACAATGAAGGTTGTGTGTGTCAGCAATGGCAATGGTGTCAGTGGGGAGGGCAGCTCCAAGCCTGACACAAAAACTCTCAGTGTCACAAATGCTGATTATATTCAAGCAAGGAAAATTGCACAGGCAGAAATTCAAAAAGCCTGCAACAGGTAATAACAAACACAACATAGTTAGAAAATATCTTTCATTAAACAATGTTTATGATTTATACACAACAAGATTCTATGCCATATAAATAAATTCTCATGTTTGGAATAACATTATGAAAGTTTTATTGTAAGTCTCATGTTTCAGTTACAATGCCAGTCTGGAGACTGTTCCATTCCAGAAACTGGACTTTGGGGAGACGGCAGTGCTGGACATCTTCTACAACGCTGATGTGGTGGTGGTAGACATGAGCATCCCCGTGCAGCAGGCACCTCTGTACTACCACATCGGCATCAGACAGAGCATGAGCATGAAGAACAACATTGCCATCTGTTTTGACACTGACCCCGAGCTCACTGTGTCACTTCGGGTCAGTCGATCAGAAATACAGCAGAAATTGAGATACTCCCTTTACTTGAAAAGCAATGTAACTGCTGCAGTGTCATGAATATGTCTGTCTCATCAAAATAATTGGTATGTCAGAGCAGCAGCCTTCCGGTTGTCATGGTTATATATCTGATCAATGTTTGTAAGACATTGAGAAGACAATATGTTTACCCTCAACTGAATTGAACACAAGCCTGCTAGCTAAAACAATTCTGTCTCTTGCAATTGAGAGAGAGAGATCCTTAGATGTTGTCGCTCCCATGGCAGGTAGAGTTGTTTATTTGTATTTATTGTAAATCGCCCTAATCTTTATGCCCTGCCATTGAATGTATTTGAAATGTTGGTTTCGACTGTAAGCATACTCTGATGGCGATGGTCCCAGCCCCTGAGTGTATCTTGCTTGTGTTGTTGTTGCAGCTGTCGTGTGGGTCGGGGATCCTCTTCTTCCCCTACCAGGTGGACAGCTGCGGGGTCTGCTTCATCAGTGACGCCTCCCAGCCCCGCCTCACTGGGGGCAGCTGTGTCCACCCCGATGTCCCCACCCTTGGGCGCAGACTGAAGGCTGCCTTCAGTGACGTGGACCAGGACAACAAGTGAGGAAATGTTCAACATATCGGCATAGATAGATTACAGCAGACATAGGAGAACACCTCAGTACCATGTGGAGCAGAAGTCATAAACTGATTCTTCAGGAAATCATTCATCACTTCAAGAAGTTTGATTTTTTGTATATATTGTTTGTTATTGAAATACCATAATTAAGTGTTTAGAAACTATTGTACTGCGTAACATTCAGGGGTAGACACCTGATAATATCAACTAGTCCACAACTCATTTCGGACTAGTTGTTTATGTAAAATAAGTAGATTTGGGGAGAAAACAACTAGTGTGTCTAGAGTGACACAGACTAGTGGCAGTGGCTAACCCAGGCAACACCACTAACCTCTTCGAACTTTTGATAGACTGTTTATTGAAAAGTACTGTTAGTAACCTACTTCATTGGTAGGTTCATCTTCACGAGGCAAAGGAGTTAACTGACGATAAAAGTCCAGTTTCCACCCTTGCCAAACTAGGCTAGAATTACGTGGCTCGATCATAGTGTCACCAGTGGCCATTACAAGCTATCTTCCATGTTCCTTCTATGTCCCTCCTATTGACCAATCAGATTTCACTTTTCATATTAACTTGCATTTGTTTCAAGCAAAATGACTACGCCGGGTCAAGGCGATCTGATCGATAATCAAGATCTATATTGTAATAAAACAGGTCTTTCCACGTGAAGTGCATCAAATTACTTGAGCACCTTGATTAAAAACATGAAAAGATTAGGAAAATATCTGTCAACGCCAAGTTGACAGTACACGTTTTGCAAATCCTGTAATGAAACGAAATTTGCAGTTTATGAACCAGATGTCGATGTCGTTACGCGATTTTGATTGGGCTATGCATAGACTCGTTAGTCCAGCCAAAATATAACTCATTTAACTCCCTTGCCTCGGGAAGATGTGGTAGGTACAGAAAACATAAAGAAATCCTATGGGGTACTGATATGATGGACATCTTCATGCTACTTGTACATGACCTACTGGTATCTTACTAAGTGGGACAGACAGATGGACTTCCTGGTGTGATTGTTCTTATCTCTGTCCTGTACAAGGTCAGTGAATAGCTGCTTCTTTCATGTGGGACACCAAGTGCTCATCTGGACAAACATCAGTATGCATAGGGTTACTGAATATGATTGATACATCAACATTATTCCTTACTGTTGTCATTGCAGAGTACATGCTAAGGAGAGGTTTCTCAATGACCTCAGAAAGGCAAGAGCGAATTTCAAAGGAGAGGAGCTGGCAAAGGTATAGACTGAGGAAATAAATAAGAATTGTTATTATTTGATCACATATTGGTTCTCTTGGTTTTAGTTTTGATAAACTGGTACATTTGATTAAAGGAAAGAAACTTTGAGCTGAGTTGTGCTGGTGTGTGTACTTAGTGCTGACCATTGTACTGTTGCAGGCTCTGACCGCCATGCGCCGGAGACTGGATGACCCGCAGCTCATGTCAGTGGATGTAGTTCTCAACATGCTCATCTCCTACAGAGAGAAACAGGTATTGCCGGCTGCCTGTGATACTCCCAATACAACTAGTCACCAATGTAAATCACTAAGATAGTTTGTGCTGATAATTCAGTTTATTGAAGTTTTTGTTATGTAATGAGCATTTCCTCAAACATTATTTCACATGTTGCTGTAGAATTCTTTAGTGATGAATGACTCTTTGATTATTTGGTTTTAGGACTACCATGCAATGGTAGAACTGGTTGAGGATCTTGGTCGGATCCCAAGCACAAAGGTGGTCAACACCATTGCAATCAAAAACCTGTATGCCTTCGCACTGAACAGGTATGTATGAGAAACATACACCTTGAAGTCATCTTCCCAGCATCTTTATGGTCTACTTACTATCTATTATCTTTTGCTTATAAAGAAAAGGAAAACTCATTTAACTTAGGTTTTTGACAAAACGGACAAATTTGGACACCCAACTGAACTGCCATGATCACACACATGAAATATAGCCTGAGACCCTGTAGCTGTTGTTATGTTGGCAGACGGAACAGGAATGGTGACCGAGACAAGGCATTGGACGTAATGGAGAAGGTCAGTGAAAATACTGAAATCAAATATAAAATAAATCAGCAGGCAAAATGTATTATTGTTTAGTGGGGCCATTATGTTACCTGGCCGTCGTCCTTTAGCTGGAATATTGTTGAGCGCTGTTTCACATAATGCCATTATGTTAACTGGTCACCCTCCTTTCGATGGAATACTGTTGAGTGCTGTTTGACATAAAGCCAGTCGTCCATATTAAGGAGGCCATTTGCAATGAGACTTTGAGCAAAATCCAATTTGTTGGCAGGTCACCTGTGTAAATGTTATGTGTGGTTATGACACGTACAGGATTAGAGCACAGAGGGATAATGATGGTTATAACACATACAGGGTTTGAGCACAGAGGGATAATGATGGTTATAACATGTACAGGATTGGAGCACAGTGATAATGATGGTTATAACACGTACAGGATTGGAGCACAGTGATAATGATGGTTATAACACATACAGGATTGGAGCATAGAGCGATAATGATGGTTATAACACATACAGGATTGGAGCATAGAGCGATAATGATGGTTATAACACATACAGGATTGGAGCATAGAGCGATAATGATGGTTATGACACATACAGGATTGGAGCACAGAGTGATAATGATGGTTATAACACAAAAAGGATTGGAGCACAGTGATAATGATGGTTATAACACATACAGGATTTGAGCATAGAGTGATAATGATGGTTATAACACGTACAAGATTGGGGAACAGAGGGATAATGATGGTTATAACACATACAGGATTTGAGCATAGAACGATAATGATGGTTATAACACATACAGGATCGGAGCAAAGAGTGATAATGATGGTTATAACACATACAGGATTTGAGCACAGAGTGATAATGATGGTTATAACACATACAGGATTGGAGCACAGAGTGATAAAGATGGTTATAACACATACAGGATTTGAGCATAGAGTGATAATGATGGTTATAACACATACAGGATTTGAGCATAGAATGATAATGATGGTTATAACACATACAGGATTGGAGCACAGTGATAATGATGGTTATAACACATACAGGATTTGAGCACAGAGTGATAATGATGGTTATAACACATACAGGATTGGAGCACAGAGTGATAATGATGGTTATAACACATACAGGATTTGAGCATAGAGTGATAATGATGGTTATAACACATACAGGATTTGAGCATAGAATGATAATGATGGTTATAACACATACAGGATTGGAGCACAGTGATAATGATGGTTATAACACATACAGGATTTGAGCATAGAGTGATAATGATGGTTATAGCACGTACAGGATTTGAGCATAGAGTGATAATGATGGTTATAGCACGTACAGGATTGGAGCACAGAGTGATAATGATGGTTATAACACGTACAAGATTGGGGAACAGAGGGATAATGATGGTTATAACACATACAGGATTTGAGCATAGAACGATAATGATGGTTATAACACATACAGGATCGGAGCAAAGAGTGATAATGATGGTTATAACACATACAGGATTGGAGTACAGAGTGATAATGATGGTTATAACACAAAAAGGATTGGAGCATAGAGTGATAATGATGGTTATAACACGTACAGGATTGGAGCACAGAGTGATAATGATGGTTATAGGACATACAGGATTGGAGCACAGAGTGATAATGATGGTTATAACACATACAGGATTTGAGCACAGAGGGATAATGATGGTTATAACACGTACAGGATTGGAGCACAGAGTGATAATGATGGTTATAACACAAAAAGGATTGGAGCACAGAGTGATAATGATGGTTATAACACAAATAGGATTGGAGCATAGAGTGATAATGATGGTTATAACACATACAGGATTTGAGCATAGAGTGATAATGATGGTTATAGCACGTACAGGATTGGAGCACAGAGTGATAATGATGGTTATAACACGTACAGGATTGGAGCACAGAGGGATAATGATGGTTATAACACATACAAGATTGGAGCATAGAGTGATAATGATGGTTATAGCACGTACAGGATTTGAGCATAGAGTGATAATGATGGTTATAGCACGTACAGGATTGGAGCACAGAGTGATAATGATGGTTATAACACGTACAAGATTGGGGAACAGAGGGATAATGATGGTTATAACACATACAGGATTTGAGCACAGTGATAATGATGGTTATAACACATACAGGATTGGAGCATAGAGCGATAATGATGGTTATAACACATACAGGATTGGAGCATAGAGCGATAATGATGGTTATAACACATACAGGATTGGAGCATAGAGCGATAATGATGGTTATGACACATACAGGATTGGAGCACAGAGTGATAATGATGGTTATAACACAAAAAGGATTGGAGCACAGTGATAATGATGGTTATAACACATACAGGATTTGAGCATAGAGTGATAATGATGGTTATAACACGTACAAGATTGGGGAACAGAGGGATAATGATGGTTATAACACATACAGGATTTGAGCATAGAACGATAATGATGGTTATAACACATACAGGATCGGAGCAAAGAGTGATAATGATGGTTATAACACATACAGGATTTGAGCACAGAGTGATAATGATGGTTATAACACATACAGGATTGGAGCACAGAGTGATAAAGATGGTTATAACACATACAGGATTTGAGCATAGAGTGATAATGATGGTTATAACACATACAGGATTTGAGCATAGAATGATAATGATGGTTATAACACATACAGGATTGGAGCACAGTGATAATGATGGTTATAACACATACAGGATTTGAGCACAGAGTGATAATGATGGTTATAACACATACAGGATTGGAGCACAGAGTGATAATGATGGTTATAACACATACAGGATTTGAGCATAGAGTGATAATGATGGTTATAACACATACAGGATTTGAGCATAGAATGATAATGATGGTTATAACACATACAGGATTGGAGCACAGTGATAATGATGGTTATAACACATACAGGATTTGAGCATAGAGTGATAATGATGGTTATAGCACGTACAGGATTTGAGCATAGAGTGATAATGATGGTTATAGCACGTACAGGATTGGAGCACAGAGTGATAATGATGGTTATAACACGTACAAGATTGGGGAACAGAGGGATAATGATGGTTATAACACATACAGGATTTGAGCATAGAACGATAATGATGGTTATAACACATACAGGATCGGAGCAAAGAGTGATAATGATGGTTATAACACATACAGGATTGGAGTACAGAGTGATAATGATGGTTATAACACAAAAAGGATTGGAGCATAGAGTGATAATGATGGTTATAACACGTACAGGATTGGAGCACAGAGTGATAATGATGGTTATAGGACATACAGGATTGGAGCACAGAGTGATAATGATGGTTATAACACATACAGGATTTGAGCACAGAGGGATAATGATGGTTATAACACGTACAGGATTGGAGCACAGAGTGATAATGATGGTTATAACACAAAAAGGATTGGAGCACAGAGTGATAATGATGGTTATAACACAAATAGGATTGGAGCATAGAGTGATAATGATGGTTATAACACATACAGGATTTGAGCATAGAGTGATAATGATGGTTATAGCACGTACAGGATTGGAGCACAGAGTGATAATGATGGTTATAACACGTACAGGATTGGAGCACAGAGGGATAATGATGGTTATAACACATACAAGATTGGAGCACAGAGGGATAATGATGGTTATAACATGTACAGGATTGGAGCACAGAGGGATAATGATGCTTATAACACATACAGGATTTGAGCATAGAGTGATAATGATGGTTATAACACATACAGGATTGGAGAACAGAGGGATAATGATGCTTATTATATAACACATACAGGATTGCAGCATAGAGTGATAAGTAAAGAATAAACTCCGAAGACCAATCCCCGTGCATATCTATTGACGCGTTTGAGGAGTTTATTCTACTTAAACCTAAATTATCGTGGCTTTAGTTTCATTGGAATGCTACATCCCCTCAAAAAACTATTATGCGTTCAAATAGTATATACACCTAAACTAAAAACAAACTCAAAATACTTTTTATAGCTTTTGTAAGTTTGAATCCCGTAGTATCAGACAATTAGGTAACCGAGAACAGAAACCGGTAACAGTTGAACGTCATTAGTTGTGCGCGGTCAGTTCACTCGAACACACCAGAATCATGCGAAACCGGTTTCAGTTGCATGTCATTAGTTGTGCGCTTGCATTTTGTTCGACATAACCAAATGGCTTGTCAATCGGATTCAGACAGCGAGTTATTTTTGACCCAGAGTAAGTTTTCGCAAAACTTTGATACACAAGATATAAACAGTGACTTTGAGGATTTATTAAACAACTCTCCCGCGTATGATGATGACGGCAATTTTGGTACAAGAAAATCTATGACCGAATTGCCTAATCGCCCTGATGAGGAACTGAAGCTTTTTCTTTCTCTGGTCGGTGAAACATCCACTGGCAATTTCCACATAGAACTCTGATGATGAAATTATTCCTTGCAGTCAAGGATTTAATACTGTGGAGATTGCACGACAAAAAGCTGAAACTCCCCCTCCAGCCCCCTTAAGTCCGGTATCGCGCCATTTCGGTAGGCCACTCCCTTCACTTGAATTGCAAGATTTGGAAAGATCTGCCAAAAGAAAAAATACTTTAAAAAAAATGGTATTATGCACCTGAAATACTGTGAAGGAATAACAGAGACAAACAGTGGCGGGTTAAAATACAAAGCTCTTGCCAGAAAGACTATAGTGGTGGGGCCAAATGCTGAGAAGAAGGAACGCTGTCTTGTCCGGTTACACCAAAAGTACTTGTCACTAAGGTAAGCAAATGATACTAGTAACAAGAAGAAATATTACAGCTGGGTAGTCACAGTATCTTGTGCAAATACTGTACGTTACTATAACATTTTTATAGTGCTACATAAATCCATAATAATGATAATAATAAAGATAATAGAATATCATCCCATTTTGAAATACTGTGA